GCCAATACGAGTTGAAGACATGAAAAGGTTGTCTGTTTTTGATCACAGATGTTTACGATCTCTTTCTCACGTTAGGTGGTATAATAAGGTAAGTAATGTTGACGTTAGGCGTAGAGTGTTGGGCAAAGAGGGGAAATCAATCGAAGAGGTTATAAAGTTACATAGATTGAGATGGCTAGGTGACGTGCTGCGCATGCCTAACCATCGTCTCCCCCGACGGGCACTACTAGCTGATATAGGCGCAGGTTGGAAAAGAGTAAGTGGTGCCATGCCAAACAAAAACATGGCATCAATCCATGAAATCCTTGACAGTTAAACTGAGTCAGGTAGGGAGATGCAGACTTCAGGGTTGGGGCCCGCCCTCGGTACTCTAAGAATCAATGGCTGGAGACAATAGGTGACATGGCTCAAAATCGTTGTCAATGGCTTACGCAGATGTATTCAGTCTCTTGCGTAATCTTTCATATTCCTTTCTACCATTACTCATTCTGCTTCACTCTTATACTTGTCAAAACTCTATTGATTCTGTTCACTCATCTTCTTGTCTACTTTTGTGTGCTCTTTGGAACGTGGCAACTGGAACTGCTGCACTTCGGTGCCAAGTTCTATGTTGAATCCAGCCAACACAAGCTTGGTATTGTAACCTAAACGTCCTGGATTCCATTCCTGGTGAAATCATAGGCGCACAAAGATGAAGCGTCCTCACCTGGGATGGAATAGTTTTTCAGTAATTTTATCAGTTTGTGAGAAATCTACATTAAGATCCCATTTATCAGCTTTATAAAGTGAGTTGTACTGTTTTGTTTTTAGGTGAAGTTTTCTTCTCGTTTTGTCTACATGCTAATAGAGATAAGTTAATAAGGTTTAATTAGTGAATTGGCAATGAATAAAACTACTTTAATGAGCTTGTGATTCACTTATTGACTTGAATGCTCACTAATGTAGAGTAGCTCTTAGTCTGTAGGAAAAAAAAGAAATGCTTAAACTTAACTATTTTCAATATTATACATTTCTTGTTGTTGTTTAGGGTATTAACTGGACACCATCTAGACTAATCAATCGTCTAGGTAAAGAAATTAACAACAAGGAATCAATCTATTATTGGTGCTATAAGGTAAGGGAATTTCTTTGTTCTGTGATCCTTATTGTTATTATTATGATAATCACTTCGAATTCTGCTTTTTGTACTTATTGGTTAATGACTTCAAGCTAGAGCTTTGAAGTTTCGGTAGCAGTGGTGTTTATTTTTTTATAGGGTGGGATTGCTAGCCTCACGCCCAATCTTCCCTGTTTTTACCGACCTTACTACTGGCTTCGCGAGGTTTAGGAGTGTGTCGGCCGGGGATCGAACCCCTGACCACGTGCGTGGTCGGTGAGCGTTCTATCGCTGAACCACCGACGCAGCTTTGATGTTTACCTACACAAAAAAGTATTCAAAGTGAAGTATTTGGCTAAGCCAGTAAGCAGGTTAATCTACTTACTGAGGAGTAATTATAATCATTTGAGAACTCTTCCCCATGTCTGTTATACATTGAATAATAAATAATAAGGTAGTAAAAGTGCCGAAAAAAGGAAATGAGATAGGGAAAAATGTGTGAGACCTTAGCTACTTCTTAATTTGTGGAAAACTCTCATTAGGACTTCGACGGCGTCGATCGAGAGGTGATTTGGAGACTACTTCGGGATGCCGCCAACAATTATACACCTCATCCAACAGTTGTACGATAATGCTACATGCCAAGTAATTCACAAGGGCAACCACGGAATCCTTCTGAGAAGTGAAGACAGGACTTAGACAAGGCTGGCTGGCTGCCTACTATCTCCAATGATTTTCCTGATTGCGGTAGACTGGATAATGCGATAGACAGCGGGCAACGAGGAGACAAGCATAAAATAGACCAATACAAAAAACTTGGAAGATCTGGATTTCACCATTGATATATGTCTGATTTCCCACAAACTGGAAGATATGCAAGTGAAAAGCAACAAGTTGGCAGAAGAAGCATCAAAGATAGGACTTCCTTCAGGTGAACATAGAAAAAACAGAGGTAGGCGATGAAGATTCCTGGCCAATAGCAACAACAGACAACAATCAGCATAAATTGGAGAAATCTGAAAGAAACAACCTCCTTCACCTACCTGGGAAGCATCGTTTCAACTACAGGCGGCGGGACTGACGAGGATATCAAAGCGAGGATCGGAAAAGCAAGACAAGCTTTCATTACTCTCAAGTCTGTGTGGAGATCAACAGCGCAACTCAGCGTGAAAAATAAGATCCGGATTTTCAACTCCAATGTGAAGTCAGTGCTACTTTGTGGATCACAGACTTGGCGCCGCGTCACGAAGGGCACTTCGAACAAACTACAGACCTTCATCAACAGCTGTCTTCGCTCAGTACTTCTTTCAAGATCAGATGGCCGGCCAGAAAAGACCAGCAACAGGGAGGGATCTCAGGGAACGAACCAACCCAGCAGGAACCGATTGTGCAACAAATTTGCAGGAAGAAATGGAGGTGGATTGGTCATACTCTGAGAAAACCATCAAGTGACATCACAAACCAGGCCATCGCTCGAGTGGAACCCGAATGGGAAGGGACGGGTTGATCGTCATTGCGAGAGTGATATGGAAGCATGTGGGCAGACGTGGAGCCAGGTGAAAACGTTGGCAGAGAACCGAACTCAGTGGAGACGTGCGGCTGAAGCCCTATGTCCCTCTAGGAATTAAAGGAAGCAATAATAATAATAATATATATAGGCGAAGAAATGTTTGTAGTGTGATTTAGTAGCGAAATGATGGGCTCCAGAACGTATAATTGAATGGCTTAAGCATTCAACTTCAACCTATTAGTTGTAGATTTCCGCATACCCCAACCAATTTGGGTAAATGTTTAAAAGAACAAACATATGCACATCATTCCCCTCTTTTTGTGTACACCTTATTCTGAATACAGTTTTTATTGTATTGCTGTTCATATTCTCATAAATTAATATTTTTCTATTGTGTGTGTGATAGAATAAAATTCCAGTATTCTGTCCTGGATTGACAGATGGTTCTCTGGGTGATGTTTTGTTCAGTCATACATATCGATCGCCTGGTTTAAAGATAGATCTAGTTGAAGATATTCGAAATATCAATCTACTGGCAATTAATGCACGTTCTACAGGAATGATAGTACTTGGTGGAGGCCTTATAAAACATCATACATTCAATGCTAACCTAATGCGAAATGGAGCTGATTATTGTGTTCTTATTAATACGGGACAAGAATTTGATGGCAGTGACTCTGGTGCTAGACCAGATGAAGCTGTAAGCTGGGGAAAAATTAAAGGAGCTGCTGAACCAGTTAAAATTAATGCAGATGCCACTTTGATATTTCCTATTTTAGTTGCAAGAACATTTGTTAAACGAATGCAACAGTGATATTTTGTAAAAACAATTATCATAATCAGTTTTGTAAACTTTGTTTAAAAAAATGTATATAAGCTTAAAAAAACGGAATATTTGTGAGATACCTCAGAATGAAAAGAAAATTATGTGGATAATCTTCTTCATAACATAATGTTGCCTTATAGAGAAATCGTAGCACGTCGGTGATTCATTGGTAGAATGCCCGCCAATCACGCGTGTGGCTCGGGTTCGCCTCCAGGCTTGGTGCACTCTCGATAAACAAGGAAGGTTGGCTGTTAGGCCAGCAGCCCCACCTAAACACACTGCTGCTAATACCTCAAAGCTCGAAGTCCTCTGTTCCACTCGGAACAGGGAAGAATGATACAAAGGAGTCGATTATATTGAATTACGCGATTTCATTAAAGTTTCCTAATGAAATCAAATCAGGGTGGTTTCCTATACAGTGTCCACTTCATCTGTATGATGATATACGCCATTTGCAATATCGCCTATTCACTGTGAATTTGAAACTTTTAAGAATACAGTTAATACTAATGATATGATCGCATTTATCCTAGGCTATTGATTATTTCATACTTTCATTATTAGCTGGTTAGCTGCATAGAAAGCAAATATCAACAATATAAGCTTAGAGGATTTCATCATGAGCTGACATCTGTTAGAGAACCACTGGTCTACGAGCTCGCCTTGTAACCAGAAGGTCCTGGGACCGAACCCTGGTGGGTGGGTACTGATGAAGAGTCCCAAACTAGGTTGACGAAACAGCTGTCCAGTACTCCCAGCTGGTTTTCTAACTGATGTCAGCTCATGATGAAATCCTCTATCCAATTAAACTAAATCCCTACAAAACCAATACTTGAAAATATAAGCTTATATTGATTCATTTTGCATCCCTATTTCATCTTGTTCTCTGAAGTCCTATTTTCTTGATCTGCAGTGTTTGTAGAGCCTTAGCACTGGATAATCTTGCTGTCATTATCCCTCTGGATAAGAGCTTTGGCTGCTGTCAGTGAAATCATGATAGTCAATCCCTCGGTGTGTTCGTGGTTGTTGTCTGAGTGATAGGAAAAGATTGTTGACTCTACAGTTAACAGTTTGGATAGTCCGCTTCCATTCTATTGGCTCTCACAGATTCTGAGCACTTCTATACCGTATCTTGTCATCTCTTTGACAACCTGAGCAACCTTCCTAGTTTCAGACATTGTGCGAACATTCCTTATCCCCATGCTTACTTTGTTTTCATCAAAAGAAGATCTATGGACTGACTGGCTTCCTGAAGGCTTTCCGTCTCTCTGATTCCAGCGTAGAATAGATTCATTTTTGATATTTATTCTGTGCGTTGAAGGTTCTGTAGCGATTGAGTTGATTTTCCGCTAGTAGGATCACCAGTCCCAACCCTCCTTTTTTTTGGGCTAGTAAAATAGGCGAGGTTATTCACAAAGTAACATCGCGTTAGTCCTCAGACATCGTAGAAGCAGCAGACGACATGTCAACAAAAGGCTGAACATTTCAGTCCAGTCAATCAACAGAAAACACAGATCAATAATAAAATATTTTCATTAGAAGTAGAGTAGTAAAAATGAAAATATATTTTATACATATTTATCAGTTACTTTAACAAGATTAAATACTCTAATATCTGTCGAGGCACTTAACATTTTTTTGCCTAACAATGCAAACAGGAATGCAGCCAGACTGATAGACATAGCAATAACATAATGACTAATACTTGTTCCAATATCCAACCAACTGCCTTCATCTCTTAACCATAGAAAAAAGTGAATAGCTATCACGTTAGACAAGACAGCAGTTAGACCAGTATGCATTAGAATTGAGTTGTATTCATATTTTGCCTGTAGATTGATTTTTTCAGGTGTAAACAAGGATTGCGATGAATTGTCACTGAATAACTGTACAGCTGCGTATATTACACCCAAGAAGAGCATAGGGCTGATCACCTTTTTAAAAAAAAAAAAAATAAAAGAGATATCAAAATTGGAAATGTGTTAGAAATGACTGTTAATATTGAGTAAATTTCGTGAGGAGAAATAATCCTCTTTCTTCGTAGAAAACTAGGACCGGTCTGATTCGAAGCAAATGCATTTGCACACCATTAACAACAACTTTAGTGTTACCGGTCAAAATTTCGATTCCCTACGAAGAAATCGATACGATATGACGAATTAAGTGAATATGATTACTAACTAATACCCCATCTATATGCTCCCTAAGGTGTAAATAAGCATTTGACTCTGCTGTTATGAAAAGAATTTTCTCCTAAACTGACATGAAACTACCATTGTGGTGAGAGCTGGCTGCTAGCCAAAGTTGGTATTCAGTAATTGACGTCAATGTTTATGTCTCCAATATTGGTGGTGAGAAAATGAAAACAAAGGCTTTACGTAGGGTGATACAGTTAGCATATGGATGATCTGACACAGTCACAAAGAGATGCAAGGTTAACTTTCTGTGGGAAACAACCAATCAAAAGACTGTATTTTCTACTAACAATAATGTACATTAAAATCTATAAATACGTGTTGATTTTCTTTAATAAACGATCTGTTGCCTGGCCCTTGTCTTCTGTTGTTACACCATAACTTGTAAAGTACTCAGAGAAATGAAGTTGATGCTTAAAGATTAGGTGTTGTCCAGTTCAATAGATGAAAGTGATCCGTAGTCTTGCAGATAATAACCCCCAAATAATTGTTGAAACCAAATTCTACCATTTACAGAATAGCACTTTGCAAAAACGAAAACCAGATAGATAGACACCAAGATTCAAGTTATAGCGGATAGCTGTTTGTTGAAGTTTGTGACTTATAAGCACTGTGTAGCTATGAATTCATTGGAAAACAAGTCTCGATGTGGCCATACAACTATTCGTTTGATATAAGTGTGTGATGGAAGTTAATATGGAATCCCATGCCTATTGTCCTAGAAATAGCAGGTAGATGTTGAAATCAGGTGACCAGTGTTCACAATGACTTTCTTTTGAATTTAATATGATGGATGGAATTTCGACGGGGAATGTTAGCTGACATAGGGTTAGGTTGGAAAAAAGCCGGTGGTGGTCAAAGCAAAACATGACTTCATCAGTCAATGAAATCCACAACAGTTAGTTTAAGCCGGCCACGTAGGACTTCCTGGTTGGGGTTATCGGGACGATAAACAATGGCTGGAGACAATTGGTGATATGGCTCAAAATCGTTCTCAATGGCTGGCGCAGATGCATCCACTCCTTGTGATTTATAATACCAAATAAAACTGTGTTGTTCTTCGATATTGCTATTCTTTTTGCCTCATATCTCTGTTTTGCGTTTCTTTTTGCTTTCTTCTCTGGCTTTGTGTGCTGAGTGAAGTGTGGCGACTCGAACTGCTGCACATATGTGGAAAGTTCTATGTTGAAACCAGTCAGTCAGATGGAATTTCGATTCTTAAACTCAGAACTTTTCTTACCTCAGCTATATGGGAATTGAAAGTAGTTGAGTTATTACCTGACTGTGAAATAATCCGATAAGCATCAGTGAAAATAAAAAGTCGATAACTGCAGAACAAAAGTGGGTAACTATATTCCATGGTGGTGGTCAGCCAAAAGATGAAAGCACTCTAGCTACAAGTGCCATATTTGAGATTCGTATTTATTTTTCATTGTGTATAACATCAACTCAAAAACACGACTGTTGTCATCAAATGGGCTTACAGACTGTTAATGAAAGTCATTAGCTTAGCTTGATTTTTCCTATGATCTAGTGTGTATATTCCGCGATTAATCCTTATTGTTGTATCCTTGCATACATATTCACTTTAGCTTTTAGTCTTGTACTACTTATTTTTGATAAGTAGTATCTTCTGAAATTTCAAATTTTCTATACGCTAAATACAAGTTTCTGCTAAGGGATCGTTAGACCTATTCTAATATCTGCATAGTGGTTCTTCCCACACTTCATTAGCTATAGTGACTTTCTTGTATTTAGGTTGTTTTTGGTTTTTCTGGTGCACTGGCACGTATTTTAAGCCACAATTCACTTTCTAGAAATTCGTACGAATTCTAAAGTAATAAATGTCTATTATTTGTGTTTTTGACAGATGGACAGACATATGGGAAATTCACAGCTTAACCATTTTGACTGATTTCCAAACTAATTTAATTTATTTACTAATACACAAACGTCGTACGTTATGGGTGCTAAGAGATGCGCTACACAGGGGCTTTGTGTTTCTGATACGAAATCTGAAAGCTTTATTGATTTAGTAGAAAACTACAAAGAAGGTTGTTATCTCATCAAATACTTCCACGGACTACGTTTTAAAATATCTGAATCGAAATCATTAAAGTACCATCAATATCCTTAAAGATATATATATATATATAAGGGTTAAGAAGAGACAAAGTATGTTGAGCATTATTTCATAAGTCATAAGGGAAAAGTGTAGTATTGATTATTGTATAAACAGCCTTACCTTTATTAAGAGGAAAACAGCCATCAAAGCAGGATTCAATATCGTTGTAAAACAGAATGTTGAACGTGGATCAAAACTAGACAGTTGTAGAAAGAGTAAGAAAAGAAAGCACCATTAAGTTGCATACAGAAATATAGATAAAATTAATTCAATTCGTTGTACACAACGGCATGGTTGAAGACCGAGGACCAATTACTTCAGCCTTCTTAACCCAGGAAAATAAAGTAGAAGACATGTTGGTTCGAGTCGGTGAGAACAATTCATCTTATTAGATAAAAATATTTTATATCTGCACCTCACAGATCCTCAGAAAGTTAAGTCAATAAATAGCTAATTTCATTGGTTGCATAAGGTCGGGCTTCAAGGTTGTGCAATCACTTTATAATAAGTCTTTAACCTCAGATCAGTGGTTTAAATTGTTGATTCTCGTTTTAGCTAATTTCAACCTCTTTCTGGCAGATACATTTTTTAGCCGAGAGCTATCTAGAGAAATGAAACACTGCACAAAAGAATGACTAATTGCAGATACCTTCTAAACAATAACGAATTCGAAGAGATTGTAACTATACAAACAGGGGGAGATTTTTATCTTATCTTTCACTATTTGTAGTTGTGTGGTCTTGCACAAATCTAATGACTAATTCGATGTAGAAGTCAAGGATGATGACTGGTCTGAGGCTGACAAATTATAATAGTAGGAAATGGAAAATTTTCAAATTCCTTAAAACAACAGATAGATAAATTCGTTTGTATCACCTTCGTATTAATTTATTTTAGGTTATTTAGAGTGAATACCTTCATAGCTGTTGTTATATTACCTGCTGTAGTCCTTCCTATTTCTTCAAATCTTCTTCCTTCGATGTATTCATTCCCTTTACGTATTGATTCATAGTTGAAACATGGTCAAACAATACACTGACTAGGAAGTAACCAAGGTGTACTTTGAATCTATGTTAGGTGGTTAGAAACAATCGGGAGTAAGTCCTAGACGTAGGTTTCGTGCTTGTTAGCACTTGTATTGATCGATAGCTGCTACCTTGACGTGGTGGTCGGGCGGCATATCGCAATGACCCAATGAGCTACATTGGATGGAACTAAATTTCCTGCAAGTCCTACCATGACAGAAGGTTGTTTAGATAGTGGACAGGACTGAAAGCAGTTATCATCATAGTGTTATGAGTCTGAGGACGAAATCGTACTTCTGGCGAATGAGGATGTGATAGCAGTAAGGTGTTTTCTCCAGATGATCAGCTATGCTGACTCTCCATTATGGAGAGAGCGTTTAGAAAACGTCAACCCAAAAAAATTGTACATCCCGACATACCATTGTGGAGATCCGTAGCCGGCGGTAATCTCTTAATACGGAATTAATTCATAAACCCAATTCAAACTGGCCGTGTGTGACCGGACTCAACAGGTTGTCCCTTGGGCTCTGCGGTCACACAACAATAGTGCTCCTGTTTCAGGTACCCCAAGAAGAAGCCGGGAAGTAGTGACCGCTCACACAATCCCATAAGTTAAACAGTGTTAGCACTTGTCATCAAAGCGTACCTACAAACTCGGAAATGATATCTCCGAAGCGATCTGTCACCTAATGTTACGGTCAGAGACGTTACCACTAAGCTATGCAGGCTCCAACCATCTAGGGACATGGTCAAACAATTTCAAAGTTTTAACAAGGATGAATGAAATTCAAAATATTGAATAGTTTGTTCACTTACCTATTCACACTGGCAATATTTCCAGTACCGAAAAATGAAACTGTCAGAAGAAATATCTATATTTTGCGCATACAGGATTATTAAGGAAATAAACACTGAATATACACATTACGTCATAAAAATTATTAGAAAGACGGTTACAGCGAAGACAATTTTCTTTTCGACAAAGTCAACAACTAGGCTGTACATTCGTCTAATTATAGTAAATGGTTAAGTCACTTCAACATGCGTATAGCAGTTCACTTGTTTGTGTGGAGCCAAGCACATTGGCCCTATCATGCGTCCGCTTGTAACACGCTGTCGGGAACACCATCCAGCATGGTTAGTAAAAGGAGGATGCAAGAGTACTTATAGTTGGGTAACAGAACATCTGGTGAATTCAGCTCCATTTGAAAAGTCCTTCAAAGTCATATGCAAGATATGATCAAACATCTCAAAGGGAGTGAAATTCATACATCTGGGAATAGCCCAGGCACTAGCAATCCAAAAGTTCAAACCCACGCTATATATTCAAAATACATACGTCCAATCGTTGTCCTTACCATGGCCATCACTATCTGCACTACTATGTTTTTATCCGAAATTCCTGCCTATTTTGTTATCACTAAGTCTTTAATCCCTGATTGCACACACAAAGTTTCTCAGTAATTTTGATTTGACTGTTTTTTATCCGATCTTCCTGTTTATTACACTTTGTGATTTTACTAATTCACCCCTTGACAGGAAATATTTTTGGGACTTTCTCATCCACTTACTATAAATACACGAATGTACAGCCTAGTTGATGACTTTGTCGAAAAGAAAATTGTCTTCGCTGTAACCGTCTTTCTAATAATTCCTATGAAATAAAGTCTTAGGATGGTCGGAATGGGTGTGGAGAATGATGGAAATGCGGATAAATTTATGTGGTACCGCTGAAGAGAAATAGGTGTAAGTAAAATATAAATACGGAGAGAAACATTCATTTGTTGACGAGGAAACGCTGACAAATCTAGGATGCCAATAAGAATCTACTTTAGTTTCGAGAGGTAGTTCAATGGCTGACAATTAGAAGGCATATTGCTCAGTTATTCAAGAGACATAGCACTATGAGTAATCTAGAACTTGGACACAACTATTCTAACGTAACTAAATAGCCTAACTTGGACAATATTCTCAGACAGACTAACCCATCTCATCAAAATGGATAAGTGTGTGCTGATTTCAACGGTTAGATGATAATAATAACTCCAAATAAAATCATTTCGTTATTATTCAGTTAATCGTATTAGTACGTTTGTATGCTGACAAATGAAGATGACTTTGATGCCATACGACAAAAAAGTTCATATCCTCATAACATCGACCTGACAATCTGGAAAAAAATGGCATATGCTTATGCGGTATATTTCATATTTTTTTAGAGATATTCAGTATTTGCAATTAAAAATAGCTGACGTTTAATTGATAAATTTGATCATTGTGTAATCTTTCTTCAGATTAAACGGTCAGTTTTGAATAGTGATATCTACAATGCTTTGATTTACCACCATGAGTTAAAAGCATAAATGCGTGACACTATATACTACTGATTGGCTGATATGAGTAGCTTGATGCCACTCATATCAAGCAGTAATGCTTGCTGGCAAGATCGGTCGTTTGTGGTCAAGCTCATCAGCAGTCTACCAACCGGTTTAACTCACCTCAGGGAGCTGAATTAATTCAATTCTGGCTAGGTTTACTTGGGTTTTTACATTACTTTGATGCGGTTACTAAGCAATACTAGTTGATGTGAGTGGGTATCATCCAACTGCTCATATCAATCAATCAGTAATTAATATAAAGCACAGTGCGTCGGTGGCACAGCGGTAGAATGCTCGCCAGCCACGCCTCATGTGGTTCGGGGTCCGACCCCCGGTCGACGCACTCCTTTACCTCGCTATGCCAGTAATAAGACTGGTAAAGAGGGAAGGTTGGACACCACTGCTACCGAAACTTCAAGCCCTATGTTCTACTAGGAACGTGAAGGAATAAAAAAGCAGTGCATTTCTACGTGCTTTCTTGATTGCCGCTGAAATATCACCTCAAACTGTGTAAATAGCAAATTGCAAGTCTGATTCAGTAAAGATCACTCAACTATACATATAACAACATTTAAACAAAGTACTTAATTTAAATATCTTTTCCATAACAGTGAGATATATATAATTAAGGATACAAAAAACAGTGATTGACGAAAATTCTTTCGATGAAGCAAATTTTTGTTGGATTCTGCATACTTATACTCTTCAGATAAAACACTGTTGTCAGATGATGTCACCAGGTCCCAAATCTATAAATAACAATGTTAATAAAAAAAAGCTTTAGTTATTGAAATTCAATGTCAAATTTTTTTTCAAAAAAATTGATCGATAGCAATTAAAAACCCACATGAATTCATAATATTTGCTTGATGATGGGTTAACAGTCGACTGTGGAGTACGTATTCAATCTAATTTTTATTTATTTTTATTTTGATTACAGCTTGATGCCACACCGTATTTTCAGTACAAGTATGGAATTTTCAGCATGGATATCGGTAGCCCAAATTTTGCAGGCCTACCATAGATATCGGGTGTGTGTCGGCAGGGGATCGAACCCCGGACCATGTGCGTGGTCGGCGAGAGTCCTAACCACTGTGCCACCGACGCACATGAAGATAACTGGAGTAAAACTCATCAGTAGGATAGTAAGTACAGATTTGACGGTTAATCAACATCATGACTTCGAATCTCACTGGAAACACCATCCATTCAGTAGGATGAAAATAAATCCAAATAATAAGTCCAGAAAGATAACCGTTACCTTAAATTCTTGGCTAAGCTTGTATATTATATTGACTCATAGAGCCATTTTAGCTGGAATGAATTATCCTGTTTGACCTAATCACACCAATGAATGTCGCATACATTATAATGGGATCTGAAGGAAATGTCGTACTGTAAACAGATTCAAGTGGTTTCCTTTTGATGATCAGTAAGTATGCTATGCTGCCTTCCTGCTCTGGAAAAATGTTAAAAAAGGCCGGCCACAAAAATGGTATAACTCGACATACAGTATGGTACTTAGTAGTCAATTATGTGGTTCGTAGGAGGGTTTAATCTTTACTGCTCTAACTACTCTGAACTTCCAAGCCCTAAATGAAATTGAAGATGACGATACTTGACGACGTCTTGCAATCTCCGCTTACGCACTCATTGACTGTAGTTCGAGCAAAACAAACTATATACTTAACTAGAAGCTTAAATAGAGAAACTCAGCCAAACATATAAGGACATCGGGGTTATCTATAGAAGCAAAAGCTAACGGACAGTGACCGTCTCTCATGTTTTTTACTAACATAACAAATTGTTTCTGACTTGTGCCAACTTTGAATATGAAGACAGATCCTGATTTCTGTGGTGATGATGGATATGGATCGGTCGCTTCGGCATAAATTAGGGATGAAGAGTAACTATGGGAAAATGCTGCTTCCTCCGGAAAGTATGTATACACCCTGGTCATGGATTAGTCCGTATTTTTATGCCTACAACTAAATGGACGTAAAACACAAGCATTGACAATCTTATGTGTCAGGTTTGTACATGAGGAAAAGCCAACTAAGCATTTATCTGAACATGACAGTAATAACCATCCTAGTAGTAACGCGTACCGTCTCCAGCCAACAGTAAAAGTAACCAATAAACTCAGCGAAAGGTTAGTAAAACGATAGTGGATTTTGGTAGCCTCGTTCTGACTGGTCGATTCAAGGAGAGTGATACCGGCGGGTATGGAACATGACGAGGGGAAAGAGCTACTGGAAAGTAAGCTGTCTAATAGTGAACGATGAAACAGAAACGAAATAACACCTAAATTACAGCTGCATGCTATCTAAATCCATCCTGAATCAACTACAGACATCGGACCTCTATCTCCATTCATCGTTGCTGTTCCCAAAACTAAAAAGTAGGACTTGATGCTTTGATTCAAGAAGTGTTTGGGGATGGTGATAGTATGGTAGCAATCCAAGGTAGTTCTGTAAAATTAGTGTAAATAGCTGTTCATATTCACTTTGTAAGGAAGGCGAAAAGTTTTCAACCGATAATCATAAGGTAATCAGCTTTTCTAATGCGTGCTACATAGTCATTCAAAGACTAAGCAGTGAAGACAAGCAGGAAAGACAAACACAAAATAATCAGTTACGTTTTTAAGTTAAGATATAGACGCACTAAGCACACCAGTATTCATTACGTTCGCGAACACATACTTGGCCATATTTCTTAACTTAGAGGCACTAAATGACTCTGTAATTGTCTGGCTATGCTAATCAAGTTATCACTATACACGAACTCATGCAGTCGACTAGGAGTTTATAAAGAACTGTCATCTGAAATGATCGATGAGATTGTGAGTTATTGTCAACTGACGATATGTATTATACATGTCAGACAGTCAGGAAAGATAAACCAGATTACGAGTAAACTGGTAAAGGATTAGGGGTAGACAGAGTAGAACATAGGAACAGTCCATGAAGTCTCTGACTGTTAACTTGAGCAAAATAAGAGGATTAAAAAAAGGAGAAATATGTATACACAAACATATAGAATAGCAAGACTTACTTTCACTTTATTCTTTAATGTTGAACTTTTTGACTCGACTTCAATATAAAGCCATAAATAAGTGACTATAGCGAATACAGCAAAGAAGGCAACTTCATAGCTTGATAGAATTAATTCTGAGTTAAGTAAAACGTTGCAATAAACATGTAGATTACCTCAGTTTCTTTAAAAGTACAAAAAGTAAATTTCCTGATACAGAAGAAGATATAGAGAAACTTATTTAATTGAATTAACTTATCCTTTTTAATGATCTCTTGGTTCGTTGAAAGTCAAATAAGTCGATAAAAGAAGTCATCTCCCGGTGGACCATATTATCGAAGGATAAGAACTTTACAGAATCACAAATATCAGATCCTAGTAGTATGAAGAATTCAGAAAAAACCTTGACCACAGTTATGAATGTAGTAATACACTACTACATGATTACATTATATCTTGTACTCTGAAAACACAGAACCAGCACGTCCGACTATGACTGCAAAGTATTCTTGTTGAAATCAGAGGGGAGAAAAAACTGTAAGTGGAAATTGTATGACTCATGTGAATTCATACAGACAGTTGCCTCACCTCCATGTTTTCAAAAATGACCACGTATCAGAGTACTTCTAGTTCGTCCTTGATTGCATCACCGGTGCAGATCTTCCTAATTATTACTGACAAGGAATTGATTAGGTTTTTCTTTATTCTCGAAGGGATCTAACTATGAAACTTCGCCTATTGACCATTCCATGTTGACTTCTTGTAAATCAATCAATAAAACATCCTAATTCACATAAGAATTTTGTTTCATTTATGAATGTTGAACTTAAAGGCGATACTGAAGCTGAGATTCTGAAGAACTGCTTGTCTAAATCGTTGAGGAAAGCATTTTTGGTTTGCTGAGCCACAGAGTAATTTGTTCAGTTGGGAAATAATACAAGTATGCTTGAAGAATAAACTACTGCTTTGGACTAATTCGGTGTGTGGCTACAAATTCATCCATCCATGTAGAGCTAGTTAATATTAGCTGCACAATATGAGCACTCTTTAAACGCATCTCAGAATACTGTGCCGCATAGCCCTGAATAGGAAGGAGGATATAATTAATTTACTTGAAAAACTTTTTCAAAGTATGTAAGTTTAAAGCGAAATCATCAGATGGAAGAAATGAAATAAGTGTAGCGGCGTTGGATGAAAAAGCCTAACTTTTAAGTGATATATTTAGAACTTTTAAAGAATAAACCAGCTGACATATTAATGCTGAATACTGTTCGGAATGTGATTAACAAAATGAAATATAGACACGACTTTACTTCATAGATATTAATTCTTTGGCAGGAAGTAATTTCACTGATGATTAGACATCAAATCCAGTCTAAATAAAAATTTAGTTTTGTTGAATTGTGCACAGCACAAATAAGCCTTAACTACTACATATTTAAAGCAAAAGTTTTGTTTTTGCTTTCTAAACTTGTTGAATCATGTTCTACAATAAACACTTGGTCAATAAGAGAAGGTACTAAAACATCCAAACAGAACAGAATATATTTGTTAGCTAGAAATAATAGTGAAGTTCTGTTTTCTTCTTCAAATAACTTATAACTATGAGGAAAAGAGTGAAGCTGTAGCTCATTGGTCTGACTGCTCGACTTGCCAACCAATCCCACCTACCGAGGTTAAGGAAGTCAGGTAGTATCACTAGCATTCACACAATAGGTGTGGCTTATTGCCACCTAGCATGGAATTGCAGGTGGTTTTTGGGTTGAGGACACATTGATGAAATAAAGAAGTGAGTCGCATTTTAATGATTAATGAACGAGTGAAACAGTCATCTGGTGTTTAGATCTCTTCAATCTGATTGGCAAGAAGTATTGTTTGACGTGGGCTTTTTCAACTACTCATGCCGATGGAAATGGAGATGGATCGGGCACACACTGAGGAAACCGTTGAGGGACATCACGTGTCAGACTCTCCAGTGGGGTGTCCGAAGGCAACAGGGAGGAGATCGTATCGGAAGGAGATAAAAGCTTACGGTTAATTGTGAAATCAAATGAAGAGGACTGAAGGTACGAGGATGAAGAATAAATGTGCTGCTGAAGCCCTATGTTCGTTCATTTCGGAGTTCAATGGAATAATGATAACAAATAACAGTCGGCAGAATGAAGCCTGTCGTACATAGGCTGACTAAGACTAGTATGGAATTGTATGATAGATCAGTTAACTCAAGATTTATTATGCTCACTCATCGTTTGAATGAAGGTAGAAGAACTGAACTTGAAACTTCATTAGGAAAAAATAAGAAAAGTCCACAGACCAGTTAAGTTACTCTGAAAGTCACCATAACAGTAAATACAAATATTATTTTCTACAAAATGAAATATATTATATTTTAATAAAAGGATACAAAGTGCTCATCAATATAAGTGGGACAAGATACACCACTGTCCAACCAATTAATCGAGAACCAAGTCGTGTTGGTACGAGAAGAATAACTAACAAGGGTAGAAGTACTTTAAAGCAAAATAAACAAAAAAGAAAAAAAAAATAGAATTTATTAGTCAATGAAAATCTCAATAATATTATAACTATAGATAAACAAGAAACAATTCCAGCATGTGTTTCATTCAAGTGTTAATTTGATACTTTATTGACTTTAAAGCGAAAATTGAATAAATAGGTGTCTATAATCGATGAAATTAAATCGACACGAACTGTACATATCATCTATATTAATTACTACGAGGTAAAATCTGTTAATATTTTATGTTTCACATCTGTAGGCATTAGTTTCTATTTGATTGATGCTTGGGGTTTGCTCATTAACTGCAAAAGTTATTATTGATCACTGGTTTCTATAACCTGGTTGAAATTGGCCATTCCTTTTATTCGAATTACATACACAACAGACTAACTTGAGTAGTGGTGTAACAACAGAAAGGCAAGACAAGGAAGCCAAAGTATATTTTTCATTAATCAAACTGCTGTTTATTTATCTACAGTTTATATTCGTTAACCAATCACTGAGCGTTTGATTTCGGTTTGCATCAAACGACGAGAAACAGAATGTTCAAATATACAATAGTATTTAATTGAATTTCTTTAAAGATTTTCCGTCGATTGATCGGAGCCTCGGTGGGAATATCGTCACTCACTGGGGAATGCAGGTACATCCAGATGACGAGTCCCAAATAGGACGAAGTGTATCTTGGATTCCACTGCTAGCCACCATCCACCAATTAAATTCTAATATATAGTATTTTTAATGCAGTATATACCGTGGGAAATGTATTCTGTCTCTAACATCAAATAGAATATTCATATAGGTAATATTGTATGCAGTATTGCACTGTGGGAGTAACATTCCGACTCTAACATCAAATAGAATGTTTAAATAGATATTCCGTATTCTGTTGTTAATGCCGAATAGAACTGTGGGAACATGTGAGAATAACATTCCGTTGAAACACATTATCTGTATCACATCACCATAATGTTATGTTAGTTTGTGTTATGATCTAAGTTGTCAATGGACCTGTCGCTAAGTGATGTGATGTTTCACCGATAGGACCGAGTGAATTTTTGCGTGGGTATAATAACACTGATGCAACTCAACTAACTGATATGCTAAATACACCTATTCGTCCGTAGTACCTTCTGCTTCACTGGCCTGTGACTTTTAGGAAATATATTTTTCCAATTGATAGGTGATTCGGTGAAGGTAGGCGAAAAATAAGTATTCTGATTGGTTGGTTATTTAACCAAGGCCGAGGTAAGAGGACGATGATGAAAGTTTACAGTCATCCTATCACGTGACGGATCTACATAATGAGTCATCAGAAGATTACAATTTTAAGCTGATTTCTATCAGTTTGAATATTTGGGAAGCCGCTTGTATTTCATGTTTTAGACAAGGGTTAATTATACGATCCTCCTTTACTGTATAACCACGAGTGATATATTTATTAGACAGCTTTTGGTTTACCTGGGAGAGAGGGAACTTGTGTGTCTCTGTGCCATAGAATGAGACTTTATACAGTCGTATTCTTGCAAAAAGCTAGGATGAGTGTTCGGTTCACCTGAAAACCAATAGGTACATCATTATAAGGTTCTGCGGTGCACCTCTTCGTGGATGAGACAGAACTAAATTCCTGTGGAGAAAATAAACTAAAATGGAGAGAGAGGTTGATCACCAATTTATTTGGAGTATTCTTTTGGAGTATCGATGTATACATTGAGGCGGCAGTAAAACAAATCCGTCAGACGAAATGAACGTTCCAAAAAAGCTATTTCTAAACATTTGCTCCCTATCATCTACATAAAACACAATTCTTTGGCTTCATACTTCGTCTAAAGTTCACTAACCACGTCTACCATTTCGTTTGACTTCACATACAGTCGAGTTTTCCAGTAACTATGTCGTCAAAATTAGTGGGTGAAGTTTTAACACAATTAGAAAAGAAGATTTATGAAAGTTGAGCTGAAGATGTTGCCTTTATAGGCTAATGAAACCATTTTTTGCGAATAAACCATCCACCTCAGAGGACAAAATCACGCGGAAAGCATTCACCTGAGGTACAAGTCTTCTCCATTACAGTAAATAAATATATCACATAATGACGTATTGTAAATATATAAAGAAGACAAAATAAAAATAAACTTACTAATCACAGACCAACTAAATAAATGAATAAATATTTTCAATGAACCAGCACGTATACTTGTAAAACTCATTAGGTAAACAGCAAAGCTTGAAAGACAAATAAGAAGACCCTTTTGCATGATGAACATGGAAAATAAAAAAAAAAAAAAACAGAAACAAAAACGCATGATTAGATTAAGAGTATGCTTACTGCTTGTAGAGTTGAAATTTCACATATACAGATTTTCAATGGACAAACAAAGTGACTACTATAGTTTAACAAGAGGAAACCATTCATATTAAAATAAGAAGACTACAGTTTACTGATTGTATGCGAGTGGCGGTAACACCTACGGCAAGATGTGGCAGAGTTAAGTCTAAATTTTGACCTGACTATCATGAAAAGTTCAATGATTGGTTTGATTAGGCAGTAATTTCTATTGTATTAGAAGAATCTGCAGCAAGATCTCCTGCTCCTCAGAAAGATCTTGGCTGAAAATCAATATCAGGCACGGCTTGTGGAGTTGAACGTCAAAGCAAAGGCAAAAAGAGAAGAATACAGTTCAGTGCCAAAGAAAATGATATACATAAACCTGGACATCAGGGAAAACTCAACGGTGTATATAACCTAAAGAGGAGAATCTCAACTTCCCTAAAAAAGATCTTTCCTGCAGCAACGCTAAGAGTGATTTTCTCTAGCCAACCACTGCTTTTAAACAATTTGAAGAATAAAATCCCACATATGAACACTACAATGCGGATATATGAATTCACCTGTGCTCCTGTGAAGCTAGATACACAGGTTAGGATAGCGATTAGACTAAAAGCAGCTACCGGCTTAGTGTACGAATTTTTGTTTTTACACTATACTGGGGGTCTGTGAGCGAAGTCGTACTGATGGGGAACAGGGATTTAACAGTAGTGAGGTGTTTCTCTCAGATGGCCAGCATGCCAGCTATGCTGTCTCACCACTCTGGAGAGAGGAGGTTAGAAAAGGTCGACCCCGAAAATTGTACCTCCCTACTTACCCCTACGGTGGTCCGTAGCCGGCGGTAAGTTTACTAGTACGGAACCAAATCAAGAAACCCAATCATACAGGTCGTGTGTGACCGGCCTCAAGCAGTTGTCCGCTGGGCTCTGCGGTCACGCAACACTAACCCTCTTTCTGTTTCAGGTACCCGAAAAATCAATCAACTTCCACGGTGTGGGCAGCCGGGAAGTAGCAACCGCCCACACACTTCCAAGAGCACTCGAAGCCTTCCTGAACATCATTCTGCTTTACCCAGACAGATTCAATCAAAAGCGCTATAATTGAACATCTCTTCAGCATCTGTCACAACATCTCAACAGACTTATCATTTAGAGCCATCAAAAAAGTGAAAAGAAATATACCAACGGCAATGTGTTTCCAACTTCTATGTAATGTAGGAGCAATCATCATACGCATCAAGAGAATGAAGCTATGTGCTCAAAAGAGACTAGTCCATTTACTATGAATTCAGCTCTGTTTGGCTAATCAACTGTCTTTTTTTCATTCCCTTCACTTATCAAAATCTATTATTCCCATTCGCTTCTATGCACATCTCACTGACACGTGTCTTCGTCAAAAACTGTTTTACATATTACGCAACTATCCTTCTTAACCTATATGGTTTCATATTTGTTTCTGTGTCCTTTGTGGACTGCATTCATCTTTGATCATAACTTCAAACTTTGATGCTGAGCTTCTTGTTTGTTACTGTCTAGTGTGTTCTGACAGGTATTTTCAATGACTTGAAATTATTAGTAAGACATTATTAATGCGTTTTCTTCCTTTAGCCTTAAACACAATATATCTTACAATGTGTTATAATATTCTGTAATGACTGTTACTACCTGTTTTGTCTACATATTTCTCAACATACTACTGTGGTGAGGGCTGGCTGCTAGCCGAAATCGGTAGATAGTAATTTACGTCAATGTTTACGTCCCAAATCGGGGTCATGAGAAAGCAAAACAAGAACAAAGACTAACTCAACAACCAATCACAGCAGACTTAGCGTGGGCGGATACGATTAGCAGATATATCAACGGACTGTCTAAGAAACGGCAACAAAGAGATGACAGAATAACCTTCAGCAGGAAAACAACCAATCAGAAGACGCTGCTTCTCTGCTAACAATAACGCTAATAATAATGTACATAAAAATCTATAAATATCTGTTGATTTTCTCAATAAACGATCTGCTGCCTGGCCCTTGTCTTCTGCCGTTACAGTAAGTAATACGTTAAATCAAAGTCACAATTTGCAAATTAATTCTTGATTTACGATTTACACACTTCGAGGAGGTGAAATTTCACCACAGTTTCCATTGGAAACCGAAATTATTCAGATCACAATATGTGATCAGTTGAAACCTCCCGATTTCTTCATCTTATTCGTTTTTTTAACGCTGATTTAACATTAGTACTGTTATTTTATTTATTTGAAACACAGAACCAGGTACAATATAGGCACCAAGGATACGCGCCACACAATAATCACAAAACAAAAATATATATAAGGAAAATAGGGAGAGAATGAATAAAGCACTTTATCCAGAAAGGAAGCAACTCTGTTTAACAAGACCAAACCAGATTTATCATATTACTGTCAGAAAGGGAGGAAAGAAGGAAACTGCAGCATGTTCGCCATTGATTGCGATTCTTAGCCATATCTGATAACGTTTCGAGCTACCGATTCGAATTATCTCTCGGACTCCAACCAGGGAGAAATGACGTGCCAACCGATACTAATCTAGCATAAATATCCTTCATTCCACGACACCGCGTCATGAGCTGACCACCTTTCCACTTTTTCCATCCAGTCCCGGTACGGAAGCCTCTGGGATGAAATATACTTAATTCCTAGTCATCACAAATAACATATAAGCAAAAAACAATACACTTACAAACAGATAACCAAGCCCTGTATGAAGATAGTCTGAAGAATGTGATAACATACGATAAGAAATAATCACTATGGGTACAAGAATAAGGCCATTTATAAGTCTGAAAAGCAAAAAAAAAGGAAAAACGTTAACAAAATTTGTTCTACGTGTTATTTATAAGGAGTTACACACAGGAATCTTATATCCTTGTGAAAAAAGTAGACAACATCACAAATGTTAAACGCAAGGTTCAAAATAAATGCAACTAAGTTGAGTGATCTAATTGCAAAGCTGAAAATGTTGTCTGGAAGGAGGACAATGAAAGCTACTCAATTCAATCATCCGACTGAGAGAACTCAACCACATCAAAATCCTCCATTATTTCAAAGTTTCAGCTAAGTATTCAACATTTGTTAAAACGAAATATTGAAACAATAGTCAACATACTTATAAATGAACTAATTTCTAGATTGGTGACGGAGAAATAATACTCAGAAAAGTTCTAACTCGTTTAATCTCTCTTTTGGGATTTCTCTATAGTGTCACTTCATAACTATGAGTGGAGTGTTTGGTCATTTAATTTCTCAGTCCAATCTTTTATATCAATAGATAATTGGTGATAAAAGTAATTCAGAAGAGAATGTATAGTCATTTACAGACTTCACACAAAAGAAATATATATCATACAAATAGAAAATGAACAATGTGCAGTAATTTATATATGTCCAGACCAATTTCGCTTTTAACAGTTTGAAAAAATTTGGGCATTGGGTATATAATATTCATTATAATAAAACATGGATTTCAACGGTTGTCATTCCATATAGACCATTAGAGACGTCAGACGATATCAGAAGAGTACTCAGTAAGCTCGACATTGGAGTTTTCTTAAAAACATCAGACACATTGTGAAACAACCTTGTCCATATAAAAGACCAAATCCGTAAAGATTCTCTATCGAATTATGTCTATAAAATGAAATGCTTGCTTGCAATGTGATGCAATATACATCGGACACACATCTCGAGAAATCAAAATCAGAAGAAATGAACACCGTAGAGCATCTGTTCGACCACCGAGAAATCCAGTTAGTGAACTAGAAAAGCTTGAAAAATCATCAGCCACAGCTTGTCTACACGCTATAGAATTAGGCCACAAAATTGATTTTGACAATATTGAAATAATCCAGAAAAACTTCAGAAATCACAAAGAACGTCATCAGAAGCACTTCATATCAAATGGAATCCAAATTGTCTGATTAGGAACGATGGACTACAACAGAATTTAACCTGGTTACAACACCTCCTTCCTCCATGAAGTGACAAAATCAACACGAATGTGATAAGCAATTTCATTATGTAAACACATACTGCTTTTATAATTTTATACATTTATCAAATCCAACAATCTACACCTAGTTTTGTTATCTTTACCAATTGGCCGATTTGACAACGGAAAAATGACCCCATACTGATGAACGATGATTAAGTTGTTATACATAAGCTGAGATTTTGTAAATTCTGGTTAAATAATACTTTGATAAAGCTATTAGCAGCATTAAATAGCGAAACGTCAGTGAAAACAATATCGTTTTTTTTCATTCATTGGGAAATACAAAAAACCCTTATTGTAATGAATTTGCAGTAATGATTTTACATTTTAAATTAGCTTATGAATTTATTTAATTGAAAAAATTATTTCTATCAATCACTGGAATAGGTGCATCGGTGGTTCAAGGGTAGAATGCTCGCCAACCACGCACATGGTCTTGGGCTCGATTCCCGGCCGACGCACTCCTTAGTGTTTCCTAGTCAGTAGTAAGTCCGATAAAGAGAAAACATTGGGCGTGAAGCTAGCGACTCCATCCAGTTAAAGGCAAACATCGCCATAACAGAAACTTTGAAGATCTAGCTTGAAGCTCTATGCTCCACTTGGAGAGCAAAGGAATGAAAAAAATCACTGGTACAATTATCACGATCAGTAAAAAGTAGGTACAGGCCAGCAACATTTGTAAACAAGTACACTACGTTTCTAAAAGACTATAGAGTTCCATATTAATTGAGAGGGAATATAAATCATCAGCAGTAATTCCATACAAAAAAGGAACCTCGGAAACCTTACGAAGAATTCTTAACAAGGCAGGGATGAAAGCGGCATTCAAACCCACAAACTCAATTAGAAATATGCTTTGTCGGTTAAAGGATCCTATGAAACCTTTAAAACTAAACAATTTAGTCTATCTAATGCCCTGCCTGCAATGATTGTCAGGTCAAATACATAGTTCAAAGTAGTAGAACAGGGGTAGTCAGACTAGCGGAGCATAAAAACCTAGCAAAATCTAGATTAGTTGACCCGAATAAGATAAGAAATCTGCAGAATAGTTCAGCTACATCACTTTCTACATGCAATCACACACAATCACACAATAGGATGGGATAAGATGACAGTTATGAAATCTAGTGCAACAGGGTGAAGGTAGAGATTGATAACAGAAGCTTTGTTTATCAAACCAACTGCAAATACGTGTGATAGGAATGATTAAACACCTGTCTGAGATATCTGGAAAATTCTACTACCCCTACGACGACAAATAGGAAAGAATAGAGAAAAGTATGAAACGAAAGTTTCGAAGTCGTGTGATTATAATTGATATGACTATGAACAATAAATTGTGTCCGAAACTTCGTCATCCAGTAAATAATACTGTTTCACTGTGTAATACATCTAATAAACAAACTAATATGGAATAATAATATATGGAATTACTTACTACCACAGTGCCCAAGTTTTACACATATATTACTATAGAGTTTCATCAACAAATTCCTTCACTCGATACTAAAGATTAGATGAGTGGAAAAGATAAGAACTAAGGAAATCTGGCAGCAAAGAAACCAAGAATCTATTGTCCAACAATGATACAGAAGTAAATAGAATTGGACTGGACATACACATATGTCAATCAGGACCTTGAGTGGGACCGTAGTGGGATGTCTGAGGGTGATATGGAGATCATGTGAAGAGAAAATTGAAGCTTGTGGGCAATCATCAAGGTAGGTGAAAGTGATGGTAGAGAACCAAGTGGAGTACAGAGGTGCCGCTGAAGTCTTATGTTCCATTCAGAACGGAAGGAATGGATAATAGTAACATACACAACATCATCGCTGATAAGTATTTCTTAACTCAATCTCAGTGAGTAATGCACTGCAAAAGAACTTCAAAACAAGACGTGTTTACAGACTTCTCAGTGGTTTTTCAGCTGTTAACAGCAGCTATTTAAAAAATATCCTCAGGTTACTTTCTGTCATTATATAAATACATAAAACGGACATTTTTCATACTTACACAAATGTTGGATAACTTTCTGATCCGATAACAGGTAGCATAGGGAATATTGCCAAACAACAGCATGAAAAGCACCAAAGGGATGAAATAATCTAAATCACATAAGAAAAGGGACAAAAATAAGTTGAATGAAGGTAATTAAAAGAGTATTGGTAAAGTATCAAACTGAAATCGAAGTAAGAAAAAATAATCACATGGAATTCATTCAGTAGTACCTGAAGAAAAGTTCTGGCCCTATTAACGATATGATAAGAACTCCTACAGAAGAGTTTACACTTTTATAAAATGTTCAGAAAGCAATGACTTCGTATATTGGTGCGATGAATTCATTTGGCTACGGTTAACTTTCTTTACAACTAATTTTACTTTAAATGATATTCTAGTTTAAAGCAGGTAATGGAATTATACAAGTAATACATCTTACGGCCTGAGTGGTTCAATGGCAAAATGCTCACCAGCCAAGAGAAAGGGTTCGATTCCCGGCCGATGCACTCCTAGTTTGTGCTTAGTTTGCTAACCCGCAGCAAGCCCAGAAAGAAAGAACGATGGGGTGGGTGTGAGGCTAGCAACCCTACTCCATAAAAACAACGCCACTGCCACTGAAACTTCAACGCTTGAAGACCAATGCTCCACTTGGAAGACAAAGGAATGGGGAAAAACATTTTACAGCCTTTTTTAAGCAACATAGATGTATAGAACTTTTCTGATTGGTTTATGTTTATGGCTTGAAGCTGTATGAGTAAAAACAGCAAGTTGCTGGAATAGCGTGCTCGCACAATTAAATAATGATCAGAGAAATGATCTATAACCAAGTACCTGTGAATCCTTTGCATACATATTTCCCAACGAAATTCTTTCCTAGGGTAGAAACAACTGATGTTAGTACAGTCACTAATGATGTAGATGCTTTAAGCTAGTGAACATCAAGTGAACTACTTTGTATCTGTGCCTACATTTCGCTACCGGACTAGTGTAATTTTCCAAAATACGTAAGACATTGTAATCAACCTGCCGATCGACCCTTAATGTCAGTGAAAACCAGTCTTTGAGGGCATACTTACAGTAAACAGAATTTTTCGCTTATTAGTATCCTGACCAAACTATGTCATTAACATAATTTAGGTTAACTGGAGCATCTTCAGGGAACTATGTAAACACACATAATACAAAAACAGTACTTCATGACAGATGATAAAAATATCCCAATATTTTAATAATCAATTTAATGAAACGCTTTTTATTTTGCTTTTTTTTCGGAAATCCCGTCTATTATGCAAAACTTTAAATTCACGTAGGATCATAATCATCATGTTTAATTGCAAGACATCGTGGGATTGTCTGTGTACTACGAATGGACGTGCCAACAAAACCAGCATTTCAGTAGTTTAGTAGTAACAATCAATCGACAGAAAATTCAAGATAATTTGAACAAAAAAACAGCTGATATCTGTTGTACAGGTATTCGCTCTTGTGCTCTGGCGAATAACGGTTTGGTGTTTCAGAGGATAGTTGCTCAGTCGAAGTCTGATTGAGAATATCCTCACTTACAGGGAATGCAAGTACGTACAGTTAACAAGTCCTGAATAGGACGAAACACGCAACCTGGATTCTACTGGTAATATAAACATCAACCGAGTAACACAATTATAATATATTTAAGTATTGCAGTGTATTATTTATCTTCCGAAGGCTGAGAATAAAATAACATAGGAGAAGAATAAAAAGGACCGGTCTATTGTTTTCTTATGATTACAAGTGGATGAACTAGTAGCCTGGGGAAATTTACTAAGAGAAAAGATTGACTGAAGTTTCAACATGGAACCTTGCACAGATGTGCAGCAGTTTGAGTCGCCACAGTCCATGTAATACACAAAGCTAGAGAAGAAAGTAAAAATAAATGCAAAATACAGACAGTAAAGAGAGTTATGAGGCAAAAAGAATAGTGATATCTCAGACGCTTAACAAAATCCAATATTGAATCGACGAAACGGCTGATTACGAAGCTGAAAACAGAAGCTAGCTCTTTTGAAAACACTGTCAATGATTTAAACATCGTATGCAGAGTCAAATTCATAAATTTCATTCGGGATCTTCAAAACAAAACAAGTGAAAACTTCTTCATGACCCTATCGAAGACGTTAGTGAAAGAACAATTATGTGAAGGCTTCCCGGAAAACCCCGAAAAATACGTTATCAATCAGTCAAGTGTAAAGCTAAATCAAACTGAAATTGAGGCACTTTCACTCGGTTTCAAGTTCCATGTACCGAGAAAATTTGTGAATAAAATAGACACAGAAGCCCAATTCGAGAATTTATTCAACCAGTTAACCGACTTACATCCCGTTAGTGAGGATAAGAAAGGTTGGTTTAAATCAAGACTAGTTGATATCTCTAACCAGTACCTATGCTCATCGATTCAAGAGTCTAGAATCATGACGAAAGAACATCGAAAAGCAATTAAACGTCTGCTCAACAATGAAGATATCGTCATACTGCGACCAGACAAAGGTTCAGGCGTGGTAGTGATGAACAAGGCTGAATATGTCCAAAAAATGGAGTCCATTCTGAATGACACGTCGAAATTTAAGATTGATAACTGCAAGAAGGATATGACGGATTCGGCAGAAAAGAAAGTCCTGAAAGTACTCAGAGAGCTATTGAAAAAGAAAATGATTGACAATCATACGTACAATGAGTTAAAACCCATGGGGTCTCGTCTACCATATATGTATGGTCTGCCGAAAATACATAAAAAGAATTGCCCAATGAGACCAATACTCTCGATGGTGAATTCACCCTTTCACAAAGTTGCTCGCTGGTTAGCCGATAGGTTAGAACCTGTCAGACAATGTCTAGCTAAACATACGTTAAAAGACTCGTTCCAATTTGTTGAAGAGGTGAGTCAACTCAGTGTACACGACAAAATCATGGTTTCCTTTGATGTGACTTCTCTATTCAATCAGATCCTTCTGCATGAGACAATAGACATCATCTGTCAACATTCTGATCTTCTTCCTCTATCAAAACTGGAATTTAAGCAGCTTCTCATGTTATGTACTAATGATATACAATTCCAGTTTGACAACAAAATGTATCGCCAGGTTGATGGTGTGGCAATGGGGAGTCCACTGGGCCCGATATTAGCTGATATCTTTATGGCCAGTCTTGAACAGACAAAGCTCAAGTGTGCAATTGGTGAAACAACAGCCTACTATAGATACGTTGATGACACATTCATTGTATGCAATGATTTGAGTCACGCTTCGTCTCTATTAGACTCTTTCAACAATGTACACAAAAGCATCACTTTCACGATGGAGCATGAAGATGATGAAAAATTCCATTTTTTGGACGTAAAGTTGGAGAGAAAATACGACGGGACACTGGAAAGATCTGTATACCGTAAAGACACATGGAGTGGTCTTTACTTGAATTTCAACAGCTTCTGCCCGGTGAGATACAAACGAACGCTGGTGAAAACGCTTTTCTCTATATTTTATTTATTTGTTTATATTTGATTTACAGCTTGATTCCACACCGTATTTTCAGTACAAGTATGGAATTTTCAGCATGGATATCGGTAGCCCAAATTCAGGCTGACCATAGATATCGGGTGTGCGCCGGCAGGGGATCGAACCCCGGACCATGTGCATGGTCGGCGACAGTCCTAACCACTGTGCCACCAACGCGAAGAGAATATGTTCACCAAACAAACTAGACAGTGAACTAATGTTTCTTGAAAAATGCTTGAAAGAAAATGGTTACCCACAAGGTTTCATTAACAAATATGGCAAGAATGAACTCAAGAAGCTTGATACTGCTATAGTTAGTGAGAAGCCTATTTTCATCAAACTCGACTACAAGGGCGACGACATTATGAGAATGATAAATAAAAGATTAAGCGCAGCCCTGTCTAGGACGTATCCTGCAGCGTTATTAGTCTCTCTATCCCGAACAACCTCTTCATTGGTGCAATCAAAGATTGACAAGTACCCCTCACATGTTACCTCCAACTGTGTATACCAATTCACATGTATCAGCGGGAGCAGTTACATTGGAAGAACAGAGAGGAGGGCCTACGTCAGATTCTGCGAACATGTACCAAGGAGCCTCCGGTTAAAGGGACCGAATTATTTAAGCTCTTCAATCGCCAAACACCTGATTGACACAGGACACCGAGTAGATGTGCTGGAATCATTCAAAATAATTAACAGACAAAGTACCTCAAGTCCTCTCAGGTTTGCTGAAGCTATAGCAATAAATCGATTTAAGCCTGATTTATGCGTCCAAAATGAATCCGTCGTTGGACTTCAATTACCCTGGTAATTGACTTCTTAGTAGCTCTTTGTTTTCTAATTTTGTTAATTTTGTTAACTTATCTTTTCACTCCACCCCTCCCCTTTATGTTTCGTTCGACTCTCTTAAGAGATAATTTTTCTTGATCTTCTGAGTTCTGCTCACTGTATAACATCATCAACTTCTCATCTGACCTCATGTGCACCGTAATTTTAAAAATTTTTTGATCTTCTCTTATCTAATTACGTAGCTATTTCTAATTGTTTTTTGTTACCGCCCTAACAACACAACTGTTAACTAATTTTTTTCAAGAAACTTCCCTCTACCAATATATATATATATATATACATGTCGGGACACTTTAGACATCCTGTAAATCTCAATGCCTTATTTTACTATGACGCTCTGACACTATGCTTGCTAATGGACAAAGGTTTGTTAAAAAACTGTAAACTATTTATTTTTAATAACAAACATTCAGGTTGTACGCAGCTAATGAGAACCAACGAAATGAAATGGATCCAGATTATTCTGCGCCAATGTTTCTTCTCTCTTTGTTCAATATACTTTTATTGGGTATTATAATTCACAAGGAGTGGATGCATCTGCGCCAGCCATTGACAACGATTTTGAGCCATATCACTGATTGTCTTCAGTCATTAGTTTCTACCATCCCGAGGACTCCAACCGGGAAGCCAGTCTACACCTTCCTACATGGCCGGCTTAAACTAACTGTTGTGGATTTCATTGACTGGTGAGGTCATGTTTTGGTTTTACCACCAATGACTCTTTTCCAACCTGTCCCTATGTCAGCTAACATCACCCGTCGAGGAAGGCAGTGGTTAGGCTAGACATACGTAACACATGTCCTAACCATCACAATCGATATAAGCTCACAGCCTCGTCGATTGATTTCCCCTCCCACCTACCCAGCACTCGACCGATGCCTAACCTCAATATTGCTCACCTCATTATACCACTTCACACGGGAGATAGAACGCAGGCGCCTATGATCAAAGACAGCTAGCCGGCCTTTTCATGTCTTCCATTCTCAGTGGCCACGTCTCGTAGTCATAAAGGAGGATGGGGCGGACTGACGAGCAGTACACACGCCCTTTGGTCGACAGCTAGCCGAATATCACGTCTACGCCAGAGACGGTGTAGACTGGCATATGCGAAATTAGCCCTCTGTATCCGTGTGGACATTTCGTCAGCGATCAACCCGTTGGCACTGGCTGATGCAACTTCCTAAATAAGTGAATTGGTCAACACGCTCCCTATTTCTAAGCTAGGAGTCAGTGTAGTCCATTCCTGTAGTAGAATCTTACATTTGACAACAGGAGCGAATCGCATGCCAAACATTCGTAGATTGCAGCTGAAGGTGTTCAGAAGACTGCATTTTATCAGCGTCTTCACCTAGAAGGACTATATCATCCTCATGCAGATTCTAAGCCAACGATATTATTCCCTGATGGTAACAAGTCAATCCCTGAGTCTCTGAGGTCACTTAGGGTTAAGTCCATTAGTACATCTATGATGAAATTGAATAGAAACGGAGATAGTGGGCATCTCCGAAAGACATCCCTAGTTGTCACCAGTTCAGATGACAACTCTCCATAGGCTCTCACCTGGCTGACTCCATGAGTTCAAGTAGAGTGCCTTCATCAGTGCAATGTATTTTCTCGGCATTCCCACCTTCACAGCCAAGCATCGCCAGAGTACCTCTCGGTCGACAGAATCGAATGCCGCCTTTAGGTCAAGAAATATAACGATTGTTGGACGCCAACGGTAAGTATGCCTATGTTCCAGAATCCGTCGAAGGGTGAGGACATGATCAATACACCCTCTTCCTGGTCTAAAGCCTGCCTGGTACTCTCGTGTTTGTTCCTCCCGTGGACCGCTTAGTCTACGCATTATTATTGAAGAGAAAAGATTATTAGGTTTAAGACGAGGAGAGTAAGAAGCAATTATACAGTTTGAAACTAGTTACTTGGAAGAGGTCAAGTATGTACCACAATATGAGCCATAGTTGTGTGATAGCTGATGCTTCTTACCCAGTTTCCCTGACTGAGTGACTTTCAACATAGAACTTAGCACAGAAGTTCACCAGTTCAAGTTACCGCATTCCATGTAACACACAAGGGTAGAGAAACGAACAAATTCAAAAAGAACTATGAGGAGCAGAAACGCATGGTGGAAAGAATAACCACATGGAGAAACATAAGGACTTAATGGATTTAGGGAACTACAAAAAGTGAGTGCATCTACACCACTGAGAACAACTTTGAGCCATATCATCAATAGTCTCCAGACATTGGTTCTTAGCGTCTCATGCACCCCAACAAGGCAGTCTATATCTTCCTACATAGCTCAAACAAACGGTCAGAAACTTTATGGACTGATATTAAGTTTTGATTTGACCACCCCTCACTTTTTTTAACCTAATCCCATGTCAGCTTATATTGCTTATCGAGGAAGGCGGTGGCTTGGCATGCGCAGTACGTGTCCTAGCCATCGCAGTCGATGTAGCTTCCCAACCTCATCGATTGATTTCCGTTTCTTATCTATCACTCTACACCTTACCTCAATACCACTCATCATATTACACTACTTAACACGAGAGATAGAAAGCAAACAACTGTAGTCAAAGACAGTCAGCCTTTCCAGTTGTCCAGACTGAAGCAGGTGAAAAGGGACTACAACCTTAGACCCATTGGTTAAAAGCCAATGAATCACGTCTTCACAGATAATTTATAATCTTAAAAAGGAATGCAAAATTATAACTTACCTTATCATGCACTCTAAATGATTCATCTATAAAAGGCCAGGCAGCAAACAATAAACAAGCCAAAGAAAGTAAGTAACGATAGAAAAATCCCCACACCTACAATTTTCGAAGAAAAGGGAGAGAGGAAAGGTTTTCAATAAACACATATATAATATCAAGAATTAGTTTGTAGGGATTTTGTTTGATTGGTTGGAGTTTCTTGACATCGGTTGGAGAACCATTGGAAAACCATCTGGGAGTAATGGACAGCTATTTCGTCAGCCTAGTTTAGGACTCTTCATAAGTACGCACCCCTCTGGTTACAAGGCTAGCGAGCTCGTAGACCATTAACCACTGAGACCCGATTCAATGGCCAGTTCATGAATTCTAACTTCTGCCAATTCACGACATAGCGCGACCACTTCGCAATATCTTCTTCGATGAGTAACTGTCCTCACCTTCGACCTGCTGTACCCTACTGGTCACGGCTTCCCACTAGAACCCCAGATAACTGCCTGAATAGGGCCAGTCGCTAGTGAGCATCAGATATATAATACTAAATGATCTTACTCGTCAATTATCATGCTTTGTTTCTTCCATCAAAAGTTGGGAGAAGCGATTTCACTAGGAACTATTTGACTATGTCAAGGAAATAAGAACAAACCTAATCTATATGTACAAAAAAGTACATACCTCCTCTATGTTCACCTTGGCCTAATAAAAGGTCATCATCTTATATTTTCATGTCTTATCATGTCCCTCTTACTCCTTTTCACCTAGTTTTCTTCATACCATCATTATTATTTGTCATCCTTTGGATTTCCACTAAGCATATCCTATCCCCATTACATGATTACTGTTCACTATATGACCCCTTTGTATTTTATCACGATTACTGTTATTTGTCATCCCTCGAACTTACATTCAGTGTTCCCCTATTTGTTGTAAATGGAATAATTGTTTGGAAAATCACTCCTAAACGATCTAATTCCAATATTAATACTTATCAGGATGTTTCAACTAACTTTGTAATTATTGTACGTTTTTTCTCCTAGACTGTATATCATTGTTCTGACGTTTTCATATCACATGTTGACTTGATCCTTATTATTTGTCTCTGTTCCTGTTTATTCTCTAACTTTATTGCTTCTAGTTGTGGTTGTACCATACACTGATAATGTTTTGTTTTACGACGCGATTTTGTTTGAGTGAATCAAGATGATCCTGACCTTGGACTGTCTACAGGAATTGTTGATGTGCGATTCTTGTCGACAGAGTTTTGGTCCCGCCTTGTTGGAAATATTCTGTTGTCTTTGGAGAATTTTATGACTGTGCCTGACTCAAGGGACTTTTGGTCAGCTATACAGTAGGATGCATAGATCGGTTTTCTGTGTTCAGACCACAACGAGTCGTTGCATTTGTTTGTTCATTTCTTTGCAGTATTCATATGTCCTCATGCCAGTGAATACAACCCACCCCTGAAACTTATATTCTAGTCATTAGGTGCGAGACTACCTTGATACGAGTCATATCATCAATTCTAACACAGCTTTCCAGGTGGCAAACAGACAAAGTAATAGCAGATTACTACGATATGCAAAAGCAGCAGTAATGCGACGATTGGAGCCTAATTTATGCTTAAAGAAGGATTTTGTGGTCTGCCCTGAATTGTCTTAGTAGTTTGTTGTTTCTTTACTTACTATTTCACTATTTGTTTCATCCTCTTACAATCCTTAAACATTGTTCATCTTTCTAACCTTTTTCTCTATCTATCAAAAATCATTACCACCTGGTCAGTGAAATATGTAAAATGATAAGGGTATTTTTCGACTACTTATTATTTAAGTAGTACACTTCATGTCTGTCATATTCAATGACGCTACAAGTTGACGAATATGTTTAATATACATTCATGAAATTAAGACAGTTGATTGTTGTTCCCTTGGGTTCCGAGTGGAACATAGGGCTTCAACTACACGTCTCCACTTTCTTCTGTCTTCTGCTGTACTTTTCACCTGCATCCATGTTAGTCCATACTGTTTCAACTCCTCTTCACACGATCTCCTCCATGTCACCCTTGGACGTCCCACTCGCCGCTTCCCTTTCGGGTTCCACTCGAGCACTGGTCTGACGCGCGATGTCACCCAACGGCCTCGTCAGTGAGTGTCCAATCCATCTCCACTTTCTCCTGCATATTTGTTGGTCGATTGGTTCTTGTTTTGTTTGTTCCTATAGTTTTTTGTTGGTGATTCTTTCCGGCGGCCATCTGATCTTCAGTATACAGCCAGCGAAGAAAGTTGTTGATAAAGGTCTGCAACAGGCTGTTGGAAATATTCTTGGTGACCGCCAAGTTTCTGATCCATCCGTATAGAAGAGCTGACTGACTTGACGTTTGTATTGAAAATCCGAATTTTGTTGCTGATGCAGGCTGAGTAACGAAGATTTCCAGATTGGTTTCAGGTTGATGAATGTGTTTCTCGCCTTCCCGATTCTCGATTTGACATCCTCGTCCATCCGTTCCTCCTGTAGTTGAGACAATGCTTCTAGATAAGTGAATGAAGTAACCTCTTTCAAATCCCTCCCGTTGATGGTGATTGGCACTGGATGTTGCTGCTGTTGTTGGTTGGTTATTTTCATAACCTCCGTCTTTTCTATGTTTACCTGGAGTCGACCAGTTTTTTGGTTTTCGCTTGTAAGTCTTCGATTTTTTGTTACATCAAACATAAGTCATCCGCGAAATCCAGGTCTTCTAGGTTCTTCACGTCGGTCCAGGATATACGAAGACAGTTGATAATTCAAGTAAATTTCAAATTATTTATTATAATTATTTATTTTATTCCTTTACGTTCCGAGTGGAACATAGGGCTTCAAGCTACAGCTTTGAAGTTTCAGTTGCAGAGGTGATTTTTACGGCGTGGGGTTGCTAGCTTCATGCCCAGCCTTCCCCCTTTTGTCGGGATGGTAACTGGTTAAGGGAGGTAAAGGTGTGCGCCGGTCGGAACTCGAGCCGTGGACCACGTGGATAGTTGGCCAGCACTCACTCTACCATTGAACCACCGACGCACACAAATTTCGAATAGAGAAAGAAAATATTATTGAAGTTAACTGAAAAGAGACGGCGGGTAAAACTACCGCATATATATATATATATATATATATAATTCCTCTTTATAGATAACTGAACTATAGCACGTTGACTTAGACGCACAATTTAGGATGCTAGCCCCACAGATTATAATCCTATCTCGAAAACTAAGATACGAATGATCAAGTAGGCCTTTACAAACCAGGCATAGCTAACAGTCTAGTTGACTGAAGCGATAGCATACGGGTAGTATACACTGCAAACAATAAGTCCTATAAAAACTAATAAGATGTAAAGTTGTATAGTGCAAAAGAGTATAAAACAACAAATGATATATATAACATCACTTACAAGAAGTTCAAGCAAGAAAATGGTAGCTATAGTAATCGAACAAATAGATGAGAATGTTGACACTGACGAATTGGTCCACAATCCAGTCACTATATAATCCATCAGGGCTAATAACTCTTTCCGTCGAGTTGTTGAATAACTCATCGACAGTGCTGTTAAAAGTGGGACCAATTGATATATAGTAGGTCCTAAAGACCATGAAGAAGCTGGAAGTAGAAAAAGTTTCGATTTACAAAAAAAAACACAATATCATAATGTATAAACGCAAATAATGTAATAGTATTGTAATATTATTGCAATGATTATCAAGGCTATCATTTGGATCAAAAAACTAAAAAGATTACTCATTTGGGTTACTAATGAAGACAGCAAGACTACTGACGTCAGGACTAATGTTTATTTGCAAATAATATCATCCATTCTCTAATGGGCATGTTTTGCTTGTCAATGTCTGTTGCTCATTAGATTATTCTCAGCGTTGTCACCTTGTTGTCACGTTTCATCTTCAGTGGCTTTTTAAATGCCACACAAATTACCATCGCTTTAACGAAAGATGCCGTCAGGAGATACAATGATAAATTCACTCTATACTGAAGTTTGCGATGAAGGTGTTATCTAGGAGGACAATGGAGGCTTAGCAATTAAATGAACCAGCTCAGAGAACGCAAATTGATCAACTACTCATATCCACTTATAAAAATTACACACTAGAATGTTTATTACACGAACAGCAGAGATAATTCTGAAGATAGAGGGCTACTTAAACAAGGATATAAACATTAATACGCCTACATATTGAAATGGGAGAACATTGAACACCAGTTTTATCTGAGTTGACGCACAATTATTTTTTCCTTTTCTTTCTCATTCTATTGCGTCCCGAGAAGAACATACAGCTGGTGGTTTCGTTTTTTATGGGGTGGGGTTGTTTGCCTAGTGCCCAACCTACCTTCTTTGCTAGTCTTAATACAGGCTAAGCGACGTTTAGGAGTACATCAGCTGAGAATCGAACCCATACCATGTGGATGTTTGGTTGAACCGTTGAACTACCAACGCATTTACCGCACAATATGGTACTATAAAACAACCAAGTTAAACTACAAAGCATTATTTATTTAAATAAGGACAAGAGAAAATCAATTATAAAAACTAAAAAGGGCTAGAATTTCTGTCGTTTCACTTAAAAATACACAAAAACATAACGACCTAGTGTAACTGTTTGCAATTATTTAATTACTGTTAGGTTTATAAGACGGTAAGATGTGTATGGACAATAAGCTCTTCTGATTGGTTGGCGATTAGCCCGACGTTAAAGAAAGGGACGAAAAGTTGTCCAATGAGATTATTTCCAGACTACAACATAAACTAAATCCACATTTGAGGAATAAACACTTCTACACTTGCAGCCATTGACTTAAAATGTTAATTTCAATCTTTAGCCTCTTCCTATCAATCTGAATTTGTATAGCGCACACGCCACAATATCCTTTAGAGAATAATTTATTCAAACCGTGTACAAACCAAGTTTAATTACTAAACAAAGCGATTAATAAGTGATGAAGTGTTAAAACAGAGACAATAAAGCTAACCGAAAGCCATAACGACCATAGAGAAACCAACTATAATACAGTTGATTAATTTCCAATGAAAACTGTTAACGTATTTCTGGTACTTGTTATGATTTACACTGTCATTTGCGCCAAATAAACGACAGAGTATCACTAGACTCCAAAGACAGAATGTCGTTGATACACACAATCTGAAACAAAACAAAACAAAGCCAAAAAAAAATGGCTCGAATGAAACTAAATATCACAGTTATTCTGATGAAGTAATTTAAGCAGAGAGATAATGTCAGTGTAGATTTCATCACGGACAGAAATCAGTCAGAAAATCATTGAAAACCAAGGAGCACTGGGCAGCGTTTTTTGACCTAGTTTGGGACTATTCAGCAGTGCGCATCCAAGTGTTCTGTGAGGATGAAATTAATAAGAGTTAAGGACATAAGGAGAAGAGTGGTTAAATATTTGGTAGTATTCACACAGTGATACACCCATTGACTGGGTATTGGTTTTCAGGAGAACCAAACACCGGCATGCAGGATCATCCTGTGGCGCAACCACTCGAGAGCCCTCTCCCTCGGGTCCCAGTGGCTCAATGGTCTACGAGCTCGCCTTGTAACCAGAAGGTCCTGGGTTCGAACTCCGGTGGGTACGTACTGTGAAGAGTCCCAAACTAGGACGAAACAGCTGTCCAGTACTCCCAGGTTTTCCAGTGGTTCTCTAACTGATGTCAGCTCATGATGAAATCCTCCATACAATCAAACTAAATCCCTACAAAACCAATACTTGAAAATTTGGTAGTATTATTTATCAGTACATAATAATGTAATCACTATGCACATTTATCAAATAAATTTACTCTATGATAGAATTATATCCTACCATGGTGCCCAAGTTCTATTCTTAAATCAAAATCGCAACTGGTTTCAATTCTGATTTTTATCTGATGTCGTATCAAGTCACTGAGTCGCAAAATCCTTTTAAACCTTTCCACAAAGTTATAAACCAATAACACACTCTAACTGAAGAGAATTATCCTCCAGCTTATAGTGTAACGACAGAAGACAAGGGCCAGGCAACAGATCGTTTATTGAGAAAATCAACACATATTTATATAGATTTTTATGTACATTATTGTCAGCGGAGAAGCAACGTCTTCTGATTGGTTGTTTTCTTGCTGAAGGTTATTCTGTATTGCTTGTGACCGTTTCTCAGAAAGTTAAGCCATATATCTGCGAATCGTATTTGCACACGCTAAGTCTGCTGTGATTGGTTGGTGAGTTCCTCAAGGTTAAGCTTTGTTATTGTTTTTTTCTCATGACTCCGATTCGGGACGTAACATTGACGTAAATTGCTGTCTACAATTTTGGCCAGTTTGCAGCCAGCTCTCACCACAATAGTACGTCGTCATTTTCTGGCTGGCTAGCTTCCAGCTCGCACCAACTAATTCGTCAGACAGTAATCGCTAAGTGATTTGTAAGTCTCTGAGGAACAATCAGGCTTTCTCAACTGAATCCATCTGCATATACCACTACACATTCCGGCCTCAACCAAAAGTGATAACCATCTAGAGTTCAGATAATCTTTGCACGCCTGGTAAGCCCTTCTAGTTGGTGTAAATAGTTGTTAACCAATCATATAAATCCGTAATACATGCTGTATGGTCTATTATGCTTACAACCTTAAAGTGATTTTTCGTGATCTTGTTACTTTATTGTTTTCGGGAAGAAAAAATTAGTGAGATATAGCCTCGAATTGTGTATTCAACAAATAATTGCTTGTCCTCGGTGAACATAAGTAACCTATGTTACATATAAGTGTCCAATCTGAAACTAAAACCAGAAAAAAACTTTGTCCATCAGTTGTTTTTATCACTAATAAACTTTCCAAGTAGTTTTCTCACGGATTCGTGCAACTAGGCTTTCCGCCTTTTGAGACACTTATCTGTAAGACGTACCTCTAACCTCTAAGAAACTAATGCCTCTTTGATGATTCAAACCACGCTACACAGTGATGCAGTCAGAAACCTTAAAATCCAGTGATTCGGAACAGTTTCGTGAGATAACTGACTGGCTGACTGAGTTTCGACGTAGAAATTTCCAGAGAAGTGCAGCAGTTCAAGTTGCTACAGGTAGTCTACAACCTCGCCACGTGGCTCAAACAGACAGTGAAAGACTTTATAGATTAATCCCAGGTTTTGATTTTGTGAGTTATATCATACTCCCATGTGCTGGTTCATGGCTAATGAGTTCACGTTTCAACAGAGACATTAAAATTCACTAGGAAGCATAGCTGCATCTTGGTAGTCAGTCCAGGATACGAACAAAAGTTCCTTGAATATAAGAACTGTTATCCAACACTAAATACAAGCAACAATGAACAAAAGAGCCATCATTGCACTAATCATAATAACAGTGAAAACGTAAGACTTACCCTAAATATAACCTATCGTATTTATGGTAATAGGCGAGACCTTCTAATGCCAAAGTGGTTAATTGTCTATACTTCTGAATCTAGAAAAAACAGAATAAGTTAATAGACACACTCACACACACGTGTAGTGACTTACAGCTTCAGTGTATCGTCCTGATGAAATGAGCATTTCACACTCTTGTTCTGTTTTATCAATATGCGATATTTTCAAACTCCTTGTAAAAGTAGAATAAAATAACAATAATAATAATAATTTAAATTAGGAAACAATCAATAAGGAAATACAACCAATGAATTTAAACCATTCGCAGCGGTTCTCATTATAGATCAATACCAGGTGGAAGACTATTCTCACTGATTCTCTGCCTGAGGTCTGTCTATGGTGATAGAATTCTGTAATTCCAATCATCAATGGGGCTATCTAGTTCTAAATATTGTCGAGAAGGTTAGGCGTAGAATGTTAGGTAAGAAAAGAAAGTGAATCGATGAGACTGTGAAGCTACATCGATTGAAATGGCTAAGACACGTGCTGCACATGCTGAGACATCGCCTTCCTCGACGGGCAATGTTAGCCGATATAAGATTAGGTTGAAACAGAGTTAGGAGTGGTCAAACCAAGACCTGATATCAGTCCAATGGTTGGCGACTGCTGGAGATATGGCTCAAAATCGTTCTAAATGGTGGAGATGTATTCACTCTTTGTGATTTCTAGTATCCATTAAGTTCTTATGTTCTTCCATATTACTGTTTTTCTCTCTCTCTCATATTTCTGCTTATTATTGTTCTTTCGAATATCTTTTTTCGCTTTCATCTACCTTAGTGTGCTAGATGGGGTGTGGTAACTCAAACTGCTACACTTCTGAGCTAAGTTCTGCATTGAAACTAAGTCTGTGAGTCAGTTAAGTGTTGTCGAAAATCTAACTATCAGGTTGAAATCTAGTCAATAGCCCTAGTGATATAACATTTCTATACACTTTTTATGTAAGATGTTTGGGAGGGTTCCGTGCTTATTGACATTCATTAGTGGAATATGTTTCAAGGATTCGAACTCACGTAAGCAACTATACCAATCAGCCAATCAGGCCATAACTGACACTGTGTAAGACTGGAGTAGAGAGAATCATTGGTTACAACTCAGTGGGTGATTCTCACATGTAGCTCAGTTCTTCAAAATGTTAGTCGTGACCTAAATACCTTAGTGGTACAATTGATGATTTATACAATGAGTCACACAGGTTTAAATCAGGAAGAGGATATGAGTCCTTTCTAGTCTATAGAAACATCTGAATGACGAATAGTAGAAAACACAGAACATGAGCCTAAAGCTTCCCGCTGATCCATTCCTCCTAACATGTAAACACTTGATCCCATGACTCGTAGCTACTGTCTTGACGTGGTGGTCGGACTTGCATATAGCAATGACCCAACAAGCTACACTGACTGAAACTAATGTTCCTGCAGGTCCTACCATGCCAGGAAGATTGTTAGGATAGCGATTAAAATAAAAGATTTTTTCAAACTATGCTGGGGGTCTGTGGGCGAAGTTGTACTGATGGGGAACAGGGATGTAACAGAAGATGACCGACATGCCAGCTATGCTGTCTCTCCACTCTGGAGAGAAGGGGTTAAAAAACGTCAACCCCAAGAATTGTAAATCCCGCCTCACCCTACGGTGGTCCGTAGCCGGCGGTAAGTTACTAATACGGGATCAAAGCTAAAAGTCAGTTCAAACAGACTGTGTGTGACCGGCCTCAAGCAGCTGTCCCCTGGGCTCTGTGGTCACGCAAAACAAGTGCCCCAATAAAAAACCAACTTCCACAGTGTAAGCAGCTGGGAAGTAACACACGAATCCCTACTGATCATCGTTCTCCTACAGGTTTTGAATACTGCTTGAAGAATGGTTTATATTGATTGCTTTACAATAGAGAATATTAAGCACTTATTAAATAATTAAGTCGAGGAAAAAAGTTATAAAATATTCATTACGCAAACGGAAATGTAATAAACAGCGACCTAAAGTGAAAATCAATTACAGTGATGTGAACTATTACTTACGGGAATTCACGGAACAACAGAGAAAAGTGGGACTTCCTTTTTTCAGCATATTTAATCTAAAAAAAATTAATAACAATGTATACACATGTATTCTTTCTCAGTCAAAAGTGATGACAGAACAGGTTGGAGAATAACAGAAGGAAATATGAAAGGTAATATATTTTGTAGACAGCACTATCCTCTGTGATATACAATAATTATATTGTACCTGAGAGGTAGAAAGTCGCAGCCAAAGATTTAAAAAAAAAGTGCTTAAGCGACCGAATACTATTTTATGTAAATAAGCACACCTTCTCTATGCATTTCTAATATTTAACTTGTCGACTCAAAATATTCCATCGAGCTGGAAAAAAACTAAACAGATAATATTGAAATCGCCCAATCATCATCGAAGAGGACCAGTAGGAGATTCCTGATATTTTTGGACTACTTCTTATGTTGTAAATTTAGATCACAATTTGATCAATGCGAGAAGTAAACACTTGGAAATTTTTCCAAAACTCACTTTAAAGACAATTAGATGACGAAGCAATAACTAACGATACATGAAAACAAACTGTTTTCTATTTATTCAAGGGCATAAATTGAGCGCGTCGGTGTTTTAGTAGTAGAATGCTTCCCAACTACGCATCTGGTCCGGGCTCAATTACCAGCTGACGCCCTTCCGAACCTCGCCTAGCCGGTAGCGAATCCGGTAGTGGGAGAAGGTTGGCAGTGAGGTTAGCAATTCCACCCCACACACAAACCACACCACTCTTACTAAAACTTCGAAGTTCAAGCTTGAAAGCGAAGGAATGAAGAAATGCCACAAATAAACAAACGAGTCATAAACTCACTTTTAGCTGTTTATATATTTGTAACCAATTGGCTCGTGCTAATTTCACTTTATCAGATTCAGGAATCTTCAAAAATTCCACAGGAACCTGACCCTAAAAGAATAAAACACGGCGCAGTAATTTATAGATTAACAGCTAGATGGTCACTGAAAACATTTCATATAAGCATTGTATACACTATATAATTACAAGAGGAAAAGTTATACATATCTTGTACAGCACGTAAACGATTTAGACAATGCTATGGAAGGCAAGAACCAAGCAGCGCAGAACAAAAGACTTAACACTTACAGTTGTAACCTTATAAATACAGTAACTCACGCACGCAGCTTATTCTTCCTAAACGAGGCATTTTTTTATGGCGCGTAACATGTGATCTCAGGTATCTAAATATGCCTACGTTATCGGAGTTGTACCCATTAAGGTTATGCCTGAAGTTGAGATCATGCTAGATGATCACTTATGAGATGTTCTATACGAGAAGTACATAAAACTCGGAAGAAAAGTACCCACAAAGACTTCTGACTTCAGAAAAAATCCTAACAATGTCCGCTACAATTGAGAATACTTATAAGACAGTTCCGATGTAGCTGCATAAAGCGTAGCCTACAAGATGCCATGAACGCTTGGTATTTTAACTTAACCAGAGTATTTGACCTAAAGAGTGTATAAAATGAATAACTTTTACCGTTATCCTCTTTCAACCTACAATCCTAAAACTGTTATACCAAAAGTAAACAATCAATTTTTTTAAAATTTGACTATGGTTTATACTGTTTTTTTGTTTTCCGAAATTCATTTTATTCAGACATTGAAGTGGCCCAAAGCTTGTAGTTTATTCTTCACACGTCCATTGATCATTTGTTGGCTGTAGAAATTGATCCGTAGCTCAGTCGTAAAGAATGCTTTCCTCAGTGATCTGCATAAGCGATTCTTCAGGATCTCAGCTGCGGTGTCACCTTTAAATTCAACGCTCATAAATAGCAGTTTCTTCGGCACTGTCTTCTTTACGGCTGAGTTACGGATCAATTTCTACAGCCGACAAATGATCAATGGATGTGTGAAGGATAAACTACCGCTTTGGGTCACTTCAATGTGTTTATAAATTCACCTGCTCGTGTGGAGCTAGTTATATTGACCGCACAAAGCGCACACTTTCCAAACGCATCTCTGAACATTATCCGGCATGGTTAGCAAAAGGACAATGCAAGACAATTACTAGCTCAATTCTCGAGCACTTGGTGAACTCAAGCCACGTAACTCCACCAGAGTCGTCTTTCAAGATCATCTACAAGGTAAGACCAAAGGGAGTCAGGTTTCGGCTTTTGTGTATGGCGGAGGCGCTGACAATTCGTCAAACCAACCCCGAACTCTGTATACAGAAAACTTTTATCCAGTCTCTTATTCTACCTTGATCTTAACCTCTTCACTAGTCCTTTCCTGCAAAAAATTTAATTTTTTTTAATTTTCAATTTTACTTTTAGTTTGCTTTTACTTTAATAATTAATTCACTATTTTCACTCTCATATGTTCCTTTTGTACATTTTCACACTTGTTAAATTGACACTCAACTACCTTTATTCTCACTCAATAACAATTTTAACCTTATCAAATTTCTAACTTTGTGCCACTGAGTACCACGTAATTTACAACTTTTTTTTTTACCTCTAAAGCCACTTCTGAGTAATTATATCAATTATGTCACCCCCTATTACTAAATAATAGACTACTATACATTTTTGGTAAATATAAATACGATTGTACAGCCTTTGAAGATGATTTTGTCGATAAAGAAAATTTTCTTCGCTGAATTTGTCTTTTATTTTCTTCATGACTAATTCAGTTAGGTCGATAGAATTTTCCAGAATTATTTTATTATTGCTGAAGTACAGTACACTGACGTATCTGATCTGCATTTATTAGTCATATGGACTCTTTTCACGGCGATGTCGATATTACTTTCAAGACATCGGTTACAAAAGTTCAACAAAAGTGATCAATGTACTTGTCCTGGCACGTACATGCAAACTTGTAAACATGCCAAAAAGTCTGAGACTCAAAGATCCCTAGTCCCTTTACCAGTAGCATTGGCCGATATCTAACTGAATCGGGACAAACGTGGTTATCATAATTCCATATTAGTTTGTTTATTAGATATATCACACAGTGAAACAGTATTATTTACTGGATGACGTTTCGAACAAAATTTATTGCTGTTCATAATCATGCCATCAATTATAATCACACGACTTCGAAACTTGAGTTTTATAGTTTTCTTTGTCCTCTCCTATTTATCGTCGTTAGGGTAGTAGAATTTTCCAGATGTCTGGGTGGACAGGTGTTGAATCATTCCTATTACATGTATTTGCAGTTAACTCGATAAACAAAGCCCCAGTTATCAATCTCTCCCTCCACTCTGTGACATTAGATTTTAAAACTGTCATCTTATCCCATCCCACTGTATGGTTGTGTTGTGTGTGATTGCATGTAGTGCTATAGCTGAACTATTCTCTAGATTTCTTATCTTATTCGGGTCAACCAATCTAGATTTTGCTAGGTTTTTATGCTCGGCTAGTCTGACTGCCCCTGTTCTACTACTTTGAACTATGTATTTGACCTGACGATCATTGCAGGGTATTAGATAAACTAAATTGTTTTGTTTTAAAGGCTCCACAGGATCCTTTAACCGACAAAGCTTGTTTCTAATTGAGTTTGTGGGTTTGAATGTCACTTTTATTCCTGCCTTGTTAAGAATTCTTCGTAAGGTTTCCGAGGTTCTTTCTTTGTATGGAAGTACTACTGATGATTCATATTCCCTATTGTTGATTTCGTCATTATCCTGTGCATGTTTGGTATGCATTTATTTATCGAGTCAACTGCAAACACGTGTAATAGGAATGATTCAACACCTGTCCACCCAGATATCTGGAAAATTCTACTACCCCTACGACGATAAATAGGAGAGAACAAAGAAAACTATAAAACTCAAGTTTCGAAGTCGTGTGATTATAATTGATGGCATGATTATGAACAATAAATTTTGTTCGAAACTGTCATCCAGTAAATAATACTGTTTCACTGTGTGATACATCTAATAAACAAACTAATGTGGAATTGCCTACTACCACAGTGCCCAAGTTTTACACACATATTAATGTGGTTATCATAACACTACTGAATTTTAAGTAACTTAAAGAGATTGATGCTATTCTATTTTATTGTAGAAACAAATGACAATAAACGTAACTTTATCAGATGACTACTTACTACAGAATTGATTGGAATTGGAACGCCTAAAAGGCTAGCCATTAAAGGACATAAATCAGCCTGTTGAATTTCTCTTCGAAGACGTTCATAATTGTGTAACGGTAGACCGTATGCATCTTTTACATTGTTTGATAATTTTTCCGTATCAGTTTTAATTTCAACAGGACCAACAATACCAGATCCCCAAATTAACAAAGGTGTTATTGTTTCATGAAGAGAACCTGATCCATGACTTCCTAGAAATATGGAAATTAATTAAAAAGGAAAAAAAACAGTTCGCTCGCACTTTCCTTTGAAAACTAATTTACTCATCTATAAAAGAGGCACTTAGATTTAAGAGATGCTTACTCGGTTTAAATAAATTTATCCAATAATATTATTCGACAAAGAATTACACTTTTTTCTATTAGAAATTACAAAACTCACAAAGAAATGAAACCGTGATACTATCGCTTAAATGAGAGGTTGAATACAGGAAGTAAGTTGTTTGAAGTTATGTACTTATACAAGGTGGAATTTTTGTGATACGCTGAATATTAGACGTTAGGAATTAGGCAGCAGAGACTCCTCTGCTGGACTGTTGCAGTTCATCACATGAAGGAATATGTAATCTTGAGGGGGTTCACACATTTTACTTCATATCCGAACTTTTCCAACTCGGTGCTTTAGTGAGACACTTAACCACTAAGTCACTGAGATTGTGGGATATCATTAATAGTAGGAGGAAAGAAGAATGATGCAAGCTATGGAAGTGAAGGTGAGTGATGGTCAGGAAAGCTGCCCACCACCATGAAAGTTGATTTCTTATCGGGATAATTGAAACGGAAGGAGCATTAATGTTGCGTGATCGCAGAGTGCAGGGGACAATTGTGTTTGAGGCAGGCCACACTCGAGTGGTTTTCAGAGTTACGTCCGTATTAAGGTAATACCGCCGGCTACGGACTGCCGCAACTTAAGTCGGGAGGTATAGTTTTTGTGGTCGACCTTTTCCAAACCCCTTTTCTCCAGAGCGAAGAGGCGACATGGCTGGCATGCTGGTCATATGAGGGAAACACTTTACTACCGTTACATTCCTGTTCTCCAGACGTACGACTTCACCAACAGACCGTCGACATAATGCGAAAAACTTACATTATGACGGAAACTGCTTTTAGCCTAACCGTTATCCAAACGACCTTTCCGGCAGGAATATTAGTTCCAGACGGTGTAGCTTGTAAGGTCATTGCGATATGCAACACCGACCACCACGTCGGAGTAACAGCTATCAGTCCAGGTCGATAAAACCACAGATAATTCAGTGTAGGACTGCTGAATGAACATGAGTTGGTCGCCGAGTGGTAGTCAATCTAGTTGTCTAATAAGTGTGTGTATTGTTTAAAATTTATTAACCAATTATATAGCGTGGATAATAGGTTAAGTGAAACGACAGTACAGTACAATGTAGCTCACTTTTTATTTTGATGCTGGATGTTAGGCAGAGTCCATCACTTGACTTGCATTATTCATTTAATTAATTCTAACACTTAGATTTTAAAATATTTTCCTTAGAATAAGAAATCACTCTCAATGTGAACATCTGACATGGTGTGACAAACGTTTCATATATTTACATCTACTTGTCTGTCATGCATCCGTTATAACTTTACAAGGTGTTTATTTTTTTTAAATAATACAACTCTACAACCACGTTTAAGTTTACGGAGTAGATTATCACCCAAATCAATTCACGTGAACCGAATAATGTCGAATTTTCGAATTACTGATCTATATCATCAAATCATGCATAGAAAAACCGAACGAACGCCAACAAGGACGAAACGCAGATCGAGGGCTTCTTGCCAATTGCCTCCAACCATCTCACATCAATTCAGAGTGCATCACGGTGGTGAGTCACCTGGCTTGGTGACAACATTTAAAACTTGACTGATAGAATTCAGTCTGCATCAAACCAAGGACTAAACGTATGACATTCGTTACTACCTATTGACCAATCAGAATATCCGTTACAGTCTTACAAGAAGTCAATCGTGACCTGAATAGCTCAGTGGTAACGTCTCTGACTGCAGTATTGGGTGACCCAGGTTAGAATCTCGGAGCGGACACGAGTTCCTAGAAGGTTGCCGATACGCCTTGCTGACGAGTGCCAACAAGCGCGAAACTCCGGTCTAGAGCATCCTGCCGATTGCCTTCAACCACCAAGCAGAAAATACTTTTAATAAGCACATAATTTTGTCACTAAGACCCCCCCCCCTCCAGTCTCGACATCCGAATAACGCCTATTCAATGAGGCAGAGGTATATCCATTTGCCGAGTCACAAATGCTTGATACTATTGAATACACAGTATTAAAATTTAATCAATCCTACAAGTGCCCATATACCAATAGAGACCAATCAATTCATTCTGATGAAGTAAAGTAATATGGAAGTAAAAATTTTAGTTTATAAAGCGTCACACATGTCTAATCAACACCATCCGCGACGATATTCTTCGCTACGTGAAATAGAAAGAAGATGAAATAAGCCTTAGCCATATCAAAAAACTAGACGAAATCACTACGTTTAGTCTGTAGGCTTCCTGGATAGATTCCACTAGACAGATATTATCTACAGATCCTTAGTGTTTCTCGTTTACCTGTTTTGCTTCCTTATTACTATAGATACTTCCTCTAGGATCTAATATTAACCTAGTTAGAACTCACTTATTTGGAGCAGATTTGTCATATACCACATTTATTGTGCGGGGTCCGATTATTCATACTATCAAGTTACCCTAAAGCAGATGGACGCGGGACCCATTATTGCTACTCAAAGACAAACTTAGTTACAGTATGGGTGTCAAGAGATGCGCCACACAAAATCTCATAGTTGACGCGAGGGCTGAGGTACTGACGCCCAGACCGAAGCAGGCACTTGTTTTAAGGGACCACCTCCCAAGCCTTTGACTCTAAGTTTGGTTCACAAGGCAGTGGAGCAGCATCAGAAGCTACGTCCCCATGGTTTCCGTTAACCATAACAGGTTCATACGCCATTCGATAGTTTCAGATTCTGGAACCCATGTACCCCATAGGTTCGGAATCAGAGTTTTCCAGCTCCTCTAGGTAGATCTGCACGTAGATATGATGGAGAAGATTTGTGGCTCAGGTGGATGATTTTGATGTAGTTGTGTTCTCTGAGCTGAATGGTTTATTTGTGAAGCTTTCATTGCCCTACTAGGCAACATCGTCAGCGCATGCTTCAATTTGAAGTGAGCTTTTAGGTTTGAAGAGTCTTGCAGTGATTTCTGAGATGTCCTTTATATATGGTAGGGCGATTTTCTTTGTGTTTTCCTTGGGGGTCTTTGATTTGGTAGGTTGGCTTGGGGGTATATGTCTTTTGATGAAATTCCATGGATATCCATTCTTTTGGAAGACATCCATGAGATATCTTTCTTTAATTTTCCTTAAGGTGGGAGTGCTGCAATGAGTCCTGGCCCTCTTGAATAGTGTTTGTATACAATTTCTTTTGTGTGTTATTGGATTGTTGCTGTTGTAATTCAGTATTTGGTCTGTGTGAGTTGATTTTCAACAAACTTGAGTTTCTAATTCCCCTGTGGTTTTTCGCCTGATTAAGACGTCTAAAAATGGGATTTTGTTCTCGGATTCCTCTTCTCTTGTGAATTTGATGTCGTTGAAGACGTTGTTTATTATGTTGTGAGTTTCATCCAACTCGTTTCTTTTTCTATTCCCGTGACATAGGTAAGCTAGTGTTTGTAGATTATTACAAATGTATCATCTACGTAACGTATCCAAATTTTGGGTTTGATCTTTGGTAGGATTATGTTTTCGAGCCTTTGCATCACTGCTTCTGCAATTAAACCTGATATTGGCGATCCCATGGGTGTTCCTTTAACTTGTTCATATATTTGGCCGTTGAATTGGAAGTACGTTGTTAGGCATAGGTTTATGCATTCCATCCAACTTGTGTGTTGCATTTTTGATTGTTGTGGGAGGTGTTCGTCGTTGCTGAGTAATTGCTCCACGGTGTCTTTTGCTAGTTTCTGTCCAATTGAGGTATATAATGCTGTGACGTCGAAGGATACCATTATTTCTTGGCCGTACCGGATCGTTTATGGGGACCTATTAGCTGAAAATCAAGTGGCTTAAGCAAATGAGTTAATCTCCACTAACAACTTAGAGTAAACGTGAGGTGTAAATGATTGTCTGAAATCGTTACCAACACTTTACTACTGAACTGACAGTGAGTTCCAGTAACCTGAATCGATATGTACAGTCACTGAATCTTTGTTCATCGAACCTACATCTAACAACAGATAGATATGCTTTCCTGTATATTCCTGGACCCTATTTACATATTTACAATTAACATTATCCCTTCTACCTACTTCTTTATTATAACATCATATTAAATGATTAAGATATGACATACACGATTCATAATGCAATTTACCCCATTCAGTCATTCCATGATCAGAGGTTAAAATATAAGCAATACGTGCATTTGTCCCACGAGATTTTTCAGTTAACTTTTGATAAACTTGTAAAACTGCTTTATCCAAATGTTCAAGAACTGTAATGTATTCAGGGGAATTCGGCTTAAACGAATGGCCAACCATATCAGCTGCATCTAAGTGTAGAAATACCATACGACCTTGACGATAGTCATTCGACTTGCCAGTAACATCATTAAAGAAATCTTCAGATTGATCAATAAAATCCTGAACAATAAAAGATTTATAACAATTTAGATAAGCAGATATAAAACCAGAAGTAGTGAATAAAACTCTTATGGTATAATTGAATTTTGTAGCTGACATAATATTCTTGTGCAAATCAATCGATAAGTATTCATGTGGTGGTGTGGTACAGACAATCGGTTCCAACGGAATATTATTCTCACAGTAAGAATCATTGTATTTGTAGGTGTTAACGTCTGAATACTATTCCCACAGTTCAATACTGCATTAACAACAGAATACTATATATGTATTTGAACATTCTATTTCATGTCGTTTAATGTAAACCAAAATCACACGCTCGGTGATTGATTGGTTAAAGAATATAAACTGTATAGATATAAATATCTGTTTGATCACTTGAAAATATACGTTGGCTTCCATGTCTTGCCTTATGCTGTTACATTCGTATCCCTTACAAAACAGCACACTTCGCGCTATTTCATCAATTACGATAGACGCCACTAGAATTCCATCTCAAGTAAGATCACAAACTGACACCAGTTAGAGAACCATTGGAAACCAAGGGGTACTGGATAGCTTTAGCGTCTTAGTCTGGGACTCTTAAGTAGTACTCACTAGTGACTTTACCGGGAACCATTTAGTATTCAACTCCTGGAAGTCCTTGGTTTACAATAGTCTCCTAGCTTATATGAATGCATGGTGTCACTTGAAATCAATTAAGTCCCTGCAAACCAATACTTAAGAATTCCATCTATTAAGTAACTCCAACAAAAAAATATATAAAGGTTTACTGAAATATCAGTGGATAGTTGAAAGTTCTAATCATAATAGAAATCTTCCAGATGTCTAGAGATTAATATAGTTATGAAGCGAGAGTTAGCAAGCTTAGTCACAAAACTACTTGCTTAATACATCATTATCATGCCTATTCGTTATGCAGTTAAAAGTCTTATCCGAGTTTTACAATCTCATGCCCGTAATTTAGACAATTTTTACAACTTCGCAATCGGCAAATGTGACTCGCGATTTGCAATGTACACAATTCGAGGTGAAATTTCACCACGGTTTCCTTTGGAAACCAAAAATATTCAGATCACAATGTATGATCTGCTTGGTACCATAAGTAGAAATCACGAAATTAAACATATATGCATGATAGTATGTACTACTGATCGATTTGTAAGCTGCGAATTCGATCTTATTTATGTATTACCAGTTCATCTATGTACCTGGCTAGAATTCGGTGGTTTGAACTGATTCGGCCTGCTCGGCTGAGTCAAACCGGGTACGCCGTTGATAAGTTCAGCTTGAAAGGAACGAAACAGGCATCTGATGTTTTTTTTCCTTCATGTTCCCCAGTGGAACATAGGGCTTCAACCTAGTGGCTTAAAGTTTCTGTAGCAGTGTTTATTTTTTATAGGATGGGGTTGCTAGCCTCATGTCCAACCTTTCCTCTTCGCCAGCATTATTTCTGGCTTAGCGAGGTAAAGGAGTGTGTCGGCCGGGGGTCGAACCCCGGACCATGTGCATGGTCGGCGAGCGTCCTAACCGCTATGCCGCCGACGTACCGTCTGATTTTCAGACCACTTCAATTCGGTTAACAAGCACTAATGGAGGAGATGAGTGGTAATCATGTCAATCAAGCAATAGTATACAGCATCATGCAACCTTTACAACTTGCAGTTTGCACAACAGGTGCTAGGAAATAGTTTACACGACTTTTAAGGATTTTAAGTCACCGGGACATATTATTGTTTTCATCATCACATTAATAGTAGACGTATAAGAATCGCTAGTACTATTTGCTATTAGGCAAGTTCACATTTATTGTATTTCATTGCATTCTCTTTAGCATCACACACTCAAGGAGTAATAATTGAATTATATTTTAATGCTTTAAAAATCAAATATGCACTAATGGGAAGTTAAACACTAGTGTTTACAGGAAAGCCTGACACATTCAAAAACAGATATTTGGACTTCCGATAATCCCATCCTATGTCAGTGAAAATAGGATTGGTGAAATGTTTAAATAATAGAGCAAAAAAAAAGTAGTACCAAGGAAAATCTAAGACAGGAAGTGAGGCATATAAGAGAAGCTTTGAAACTTAATAATTACCCGGATAAATTAATCAGGAAGTATGCAGGAATAAAATGATAACAATAATAGTGATGATAGTGATAATAATAGTATTGATGACGTGCATGTGAAACATGCGCAGGCTAAAGACAACACCAACAATAGGGAATATACACCATTAGAAGTACTTCTATACAAAGAAGGAACCTCAGAAACCTTACGCAGAATTCTTAACAAGGCAGGAATAAAAGTGGCTGGCATTGAAACCCACAAACTCAGTTAGAAACAAGCTTTGTCGGTTAAAGGATCAATCCTGTGGAGCCAATAAAACAAAACAATTTAGTTTATCTAATACCCTGCCGGAATGATTGTCAGTGAGGTCAAATACACAGGTCAAAGTAGTAGAACAGGTGCAGTCAGACTAGCCGAGCATAAAAACCTAGCAAAATCTAGATTAGTTGACCCAAAAACGATCGCGAAATATCGAATCATACTTTTGCGCAAAGCTAAAAGAAAAGCATAAATACTCAGCAGAAACTACCTTGCTGAATTGCATCAGAGAACTAGAGGGAAGGAAAGTCATCTGTTGTATTTAGAACGTATAATTTAACTCAGAAAAAGTCTTATTCCCATCACCCTTTTAGTAACATTTTAAATAATGGAACATTAATTGTAATTTGAGAGCTTTCTTAGAAGAAACCCACAGATAATGTCACTTAGAATCTCACTCGCTGTAGACATATATACATGTGGTCAACCAAAGTGGTATAGAGAAAGAATATTGAATTGAAACAAGGTTACATGTCCAATACCATGAAGATTGTGACCTATCTGTCAACAACAGACTGCTGTAGGGAAAGAAATATTTCTTCAGGCTTTTGAGTCCATATGCATTCATCTGACAAGTATCAACAAGCACAAAAAGCGCATTGATAAATAGTTTCCTACCATTTAATTCAAAATAACCTCGTACAAAATCATAAATAACATTTATTATTATTATTATTTCCTTCACGTTCCTCAGTGGAACATAGGGCTTCAAGCTTGAGGCTTGAAGTTTCTGTAGCAGTGTTTATTTTTACAGGATGAGGTTGCTAGCCTAATGCCCAACCTTCCCTCTTCACCAGCCTTATTTCTGGCTTAGTGAGGTAAAGGAATGCGTCGGCCGGGGATCGAACCCCGGACCATGTGCATGGTCGGCGAGCGTCCTAACCGCTATGCCACCGACGCACGTAACATTTACGAACAGTAAATGACACAATAATTTCTTATGAACTCCCTAACAAAATATTGTGCGTCGGTAGCACAGAGGTTAGGACTCTCGCCGACCATACACATGGTCCAGGGTTTGATGTCCTGCCAACGCACACCTGATATCAGTGATCAGCCTGCAAAATTTGGGCCACCGATATCACATGCTGAAAATTCCATAATTCTACCAAAAAGTATTGTGTGGAATCAAGCTATGATCAAAAAAAATATTAACTAGGCCCCATTTCATTGAGACTAAACTTATTCGGATCCCTTCAAGTGGAACAGGGCTCTGACCAGCAGATCATTGGATTGACATTAAATATTTATATCTTTAAATGGTGATGAAAAGATAGTAGACTAACAATAAAGGTTTTAAGTAATACACCATATATATACATCTTAATGCACTAGGAATGCTACGCTATGGCAAGAAAAAATTATTCATTTGGAATTAGACTTTATAATTCCTAATCAAACACGCTTATAGCTCAGATTATTGTGCATACTTCATCTACCGTAAAAAGTATACACAATTAAACGTACCATGAATTGATTAATTACCCATCGATCAATTTCTGTAGGATTTGTTTTAGTTAAATCACTTAATTCATCTGGACAAGGTGTTGCTTTGATATGTTGTGTAGATGGTGATACAAATGACATAACTACTTCTCGATAACCCCAAATCCACGCTGAAAGAGAACGATTCAATACAGAATCGAATTCCACAGGATTGGTTCTCCATCCTAAAGGAGAGAAAAAATACAGTTTAATTTGTAAAACAATAAAGTCCAAGAAACCAAAGATAAGCTTCTTGAAATTTCCATATTTTACGTTACTTTTAATGATAACATTTCCTAACTGATTTATTTACCTGTAATTGGAATGTCTATACATCTTCGTACGACACGGTGGACACTGAACTTAATGGGAAACATATGTAGTACACTGATTGCTAACATGAATTAGAATTGTGGAGAATTCACAATCACAAAATTATCGAATACGAAATGATACAAAATAATACTGATTAGCTCTTTTCTTGTCTAACAAGGTACTGAATGCATTTAACTACCTTTGGTTGTTGATCCATCTAAGCATTAGCCTAACCCATTTACAAACTTTATCACTAAAATGTATTTACAAAGAATATCCTGCCACACCTTCACAACTTTTGCTTGTTATCAAACTGTAGCAGTCAGTCAAGTTCTCAGAGTATTTGTACTGAATGGTGAAGTGAGTCACTTCAGTGAGTCCCAACCTTCCACCAGTAGATGCAAGACCTAAATTAACATGCTACATTCAGTGCTATAGAAATAGATGCAGAACAAAAGGTATACTAGTGTGTTTATTCCTTTCATTCCTTTGCTTTCCGGGTGGAACATAGCGCTTTAGGCTTGGAACCTTGAAGTTTCAGTAGACATACTGCTGCTCATAGGGGTTGGGACTGTTAGCCTCACTCCTAACCCTCACTCTTTTACGGGCTTACTATCAACTAGTAAACTGGGTGACGTCTAGCAGTGCGTCGGCTTGGAACCGAACCTCAGACCACGTGCGTGGTTGGCGAGAATTCTGCCACTGAACCACAGAAGCACAATGTTTTTATGGTCTGTTTGAATGTCATTTACCGTTGCTCAATAACTAAAACTATTTGGGAGACTTGAAGCAAAACAACCAGCAATTCTGTTGATCAAGAAAGAGCTGATTTTTTCTCAAAAAAAGTGGTTTTTAGCAATGTTATATTGTTATGACAAATGCGAATATTTATATTATAATCTCATTACCTAATGGCTATCGGTATTACATATGTTTAGGTTTTAAAACAAAGGACTGAGATTATGA